TATTTTTCCTTTTAACAACCAAGCAGTGTTTCATCTTGACGGTGAAATTATCCCTTCGCTCTGGGACCTCAGCTCGTTCCCTCATTATTTTGCCAAAACACCTCTGCATAAAGTGAGCCTGGTAGTCATCTGGTGGATTCTAGATGCATTACTTAGAAAAGCCTGCTTGGGCAGTCAGCATGTCGTATCAGCTTTGGTGGATTCCAGACGTTGCAGTAGGTTGGGTGGGTAACTTGACCCAAATGTGATAAAACTCTTGTCGCCCGGCGGGGCCTCGTAGCTCAAGTGGTTAGGGCGTTGGCTGCACTAAAGCCTCCCCTTGTTCTTGTGAGTCCGAATCCCACTGATGCACTGACTTTTTCGCAGTTGGGTCAAGGTGAAGGATATATTGGATTGTTACTGGCCTCCGCGTCTTTTTGTTCAGTATTCCGAGCTGGCACCGACTTTTTCATGTGTAAGTGGGCAAAACGAGTTCTTACACAAGACAATACACCTTCGACTCTTTCATGGGTTCCGAACCCTCACACACACACCCAGTCTACGCACACAGTTAGTTGCATTCACTAACCGATGGTAGAAAACTACTAAGAAACCGTTCCTAAACACAACCCACGGACCGCCGGCAAAACTCAGTGCAGATGTGGGATGCAGCATGTTGGTAGCATCAACGATGTGCTTGATACGATAAATATAAAGTTAACACGAACTTCCTATAGAAAGGATACTCAAGTGCCTAGTTTCCTGAAGGTGGTAGGTGTACGCCGACCAGCATCCTCGGACATTTTATTTAAACACTGCACTATCAGCGACGGTAAGCTGTAGACGGATTGGTTGAAATATTACTTATTATTCCTAATGGCTGTCCTTTTGGTGCTTTGGTTGCACTTGCGCATGGGTCTCCCGATTTTACTTAAACTCACGTCCGAGGATGTCTAATGCTTGGAGTTAATAAGCTTCTAAATTCGCGGAAAGGTGTCGCCTTGAACCTGGACTCCTATCCCGAATACAGTCCTGATCTGAGCGCCAACATGAATTTAGAGCACAGCAGGGACGCTTGCCGTTGAAATGTTTCATGTTATCCTAGAGAAGATTTGCCCGTACTGTGAGAGTCCGCTGATCAGGTAAGGGGGAATTCGTTTTGAAGTTCAAAGTTCAGTATGTGTTCTTTATTGGCGTTTACAGTAAGAGTTAGTTCTAGGCCGTTGGTAATAAAATACTACCCAGAGGCTGCGCATCGGATTCTGTTTGCCCTTGTGAGCTAAGTTGATCGAGATACGTAATATGATATGTGTGCACTTGTGCGCCAAAATTAAATCGGTTGGCTGGGTCCGTGTGAGATAGGCATTACCGGGCATTTTGTAAGCCTAAACTAGATTGCAGATTTTCAAATGCGATGAGGATCTACTCGCCGTGGAAGCTCCGTTTTTGCTAAAACCTGCACCTAGTCAATTGTCTCGTGCGATGAGTTACCATGTTGAAAGTCTATAAAGACATAGGAAATTCATGTGGTAATAATAGTAATAAGTAAGATCAGAGGCGTTCTCTTCGGCTATCGGCAGGGAGCGATGGCACAGTGACGGAAGTCAAGGAGGCTTCCGAATGTCCAATCTGGCACTTTTACACTGACGAGTAAGTTTTAAACGGAAGTGAGTGTTATTTTCACCACTGTCAAGTTTGTTACGTCTCCGAAGGACAAATATCTTGTCGAAATCATGGCACATTACTCCCTCCATTTTAGGTTATGAGTCCTTCTGCGTTGTTGTGATCCTGTTTTACAAGATTGATGATGATGATGATGATGATGATGATGATGATGATGATGATGATGATGATGATGATGATGATGATGATGATGATGATGATGATGATGATGATGATGATGATGATGATGATGATGATGATGATGATGATGATGATGATGATGATGATGATGATGATGACTGTTACTTTTTTAGCAAACGTGCATAAGCATATAGGCCGATAAAACTGCTAATATCCCTTCCGACTCATTGATTCCAGAGACTTGAACGTCCGCAGCTCATCTTTCTTTCCGCTCGAACATTCCGTCACAGTTTTAGGTGGGGCTTAGCTACCACACAAGCCCTCAACTGGTTTCCGAAGTGGATTTGTTTTTGCGGGTGCTGTTCTTTCGGTCCATTGCTAACTGTGCACAGGGCGCTGTGCCAGCATTTTCTGCAAATTAATGCAAATTTAGTCGTATTTGATGGTCCTGTTTGACCGTTGTTGTAGCAGAACGTATGTAGCACAGGATAATTCTTTCTGCTGCGCCGAACGAGTGTAACCCTGCCCCAGATTGCTCTACCTTCTGAACTTTCCGATTGGTTGGTCCTATTTGCTAGCGTCGCTGCTGTTTTTACCATCCTGATGACAGCTCAAACCGAGCGAGCGCGTGGATCAACCGGAATTTAACACCTACTGTCGTCGGAACCCCGGGAATCTGAACCTGATGAAGGACGCCATCAATCAGAGCAAGTTTTACTCACCAACTACCTTGTCTTTAGTAAGTGGATCAACTGACAGCGCCTTCTTCCTGCGTTCCACGTCCCAGCCACTGGAGTGTCATCTGCAGCAACCTACGAAATGGCAACCTGAAGCTCACCTACCTCGCCTGCCCTATCCAGTGAGGACAGGGGAATATACGGTTGGTCGACTACTTCAAGTTTATATAATTGTCGCCATTGTTCTAGAGATTTAGACTGACCTGTAGAGATCCCCATGAAGTCTTCCTGGCCAAAGTGGAAGAGGCACTGTCTAAGCATAACAAGAAGATGCGCGCTTACAAAGAGAGAATCCACAAAGTTAACCCACTTGCTAACCAAAATCCCTGAAAGGAAGAGGTCTATAACTAAAACTGTGTTACTGCGTTGCCACTCACCTGATCTGTCAGTTTTCTTCAAAAATGGTTCGTTTTGAACAATTTAACTTTGCTGGGGCGAAATACATTGAAGGGGGACGGGATTCGAATATATTTGTAGAGAGTCCTGATAGAATAAAATGGTCGATTTCTAGGAAGCAGTTCAGAAGAAGATACGATCAATGGAGCAAGAAGTTCATTGGCCCGGTGCGGACTGACAAGCCATCAACGCGCCCAATACGACTCCCAGCAGTGATTGCGAGAGTTGTTAGTGGTAGTACGCTTGTGGTCCCACGGCAGCAACGTACTATAAATACTGCACTACTTGTGCCTCCATCATCATTATCTGCGACTGTCTCCGATGATAAGTTCGAGTGAGAATCCCAAAAATTTGGCCAATAGACTTCTTGTTCCAATGATTGCATCTTCCTCCTCTGATTTGTAGAGTATTTTTTGCCTTGTTGGAAGTGAGGGGTAAAGTTTCACTTAGCTTACTGAATTTTATTTAGTTGTTGAAAGGATACCTCGATGTCATTTTCTTAACCTCCTCATAAATTGATGGTCAACTTGGAGTAAATCCGTCGAAACGAAGCTTTATAGGCTCAGTGTGGAAGATAATATGAATATTTGAGCCGAAATCCAGCAACTTCGGAGGGATAACCACGCAATATTTGTAAACTGTCGACGGGCAGCCAGTAGCATACTCATGTTGCAGGATTTACTGCACCGAACTGAACTGAAAGCAAAACAACTGTTGGAGAACCGGGATGCTAACCCCACCCCCCCCCCTTGATTAATCCCGCAAAGCTCATATGGGCCAGGCAGTAACTTTTCGGACAGGGTTTCATAGGGAGGACCATGCCTTTTAGTCAGTGAATAGTGCTCGCCTATTCTGCCTGGAGATACTCGTCCGCACATATCCGTACGTGCCGGTTAAGAATCAGACCAAGCGAAAGCAGAAATTCTGTGCAACTTTCACGCAACGATAATGATTATGTCGCGTTAGGATGCATTTGTCATTGACTGCCGAATACCGCACGGTACTTGGATGTGCACAAACAAGAGTTTTATGTCACCCCGGTTCAGTTCTGCAGGAGGTCAGAATATTCAGAGAGGTGACACATGCGGGTGGGCCACGGTCTCGGTGATAAACAAAGAGGTTCTTTGCACTGCTTCTATTGTCGACTCAACTTTAACTCAGTCTTCCAGTTGCCTAGGTCTCAGTCATTTATTTGTGCAATCCTGCTGTATGCCACCGAGCAGACGCGACGCCTGCCTTAAGATTTTCGTGATATGATTTTAACGACTACTCAGCCATTGATGAAGCCCAGGTTTGGCCTACTTGGACTGCAGCTTTCCACTTGGATGGCTTTAGGAGGTGGCTCGTGGAGTCTGAGTGACGGCGAGCGCCTGCCGCAGGGGGCAAAGGCCCGGTGGCGACCGTGACATACAATGGACGGTGCCGAACGAGACGTACGGGCATGACGTGTGCCCTTTGTGGGCCGTCAGGATGTTTACCCATGTAGCAGCCGCTACACTGCCCCTTTTTGGGCTCCTGGTTGTCAGTCGACAGCTGCAACAACAGTGCTAACCTTTAGGTACATCCTTAGCCTTGACCTGAATCGCCGCTTTGTAGCGACCGAAGAGGTTGAGGTTAGCACACACAGCGTAACATGGAGCCCTGAAGATAACTCTTGACTGAAAACGAGCTGAACAAGGTTGTTAGACGCGCATCATTCTCAGTAAGGAGAAAGAAGAGATAAACAGGCACAAATTGTATGCTAGGAAAAATGAGATCGGTATATAGAAAAATGGTAAGTGATACACGGGAAAATGAGTTACAACAGGGGGCTGCTCCGTTTGGATGGGAAGGAGACGCCAACCGGTGGGGATTGCAGCGCTGGGGGCAACTGCAGGGATGGCCGAGGACGGAGCCGACATGGAGCGGGGCAAGCGTTGCGTTAACGACAAGGCTACGGGGGAGGGGGGTCCGACGGGTATGCAACAATTGGGAGCCGGCTATTTTGGCCGACAAGCGGTCACACAATCTCCGACCTGGATTCGCGCCAATTTTTCACACCTTTAAAGCAACCAAGCTAAGTTCGTTGAACGTTACACCTTGTCCAGCTGCGCCGAGTCACAACCGCCCCCACAGACTGACGCCATCTAACACGCGCAGGGCGGCGTCGCCTGTCATCCATGGGTCCTCATGATCCTGAGCGTCTTACTCAGTCCGTGGGCCAACCTGTCGCCCATTCAATACTTAGCTAGTTACTTGGTCATGCTGGCACAGAGATGCCAGACTTTCGTAAACGACATCGCCCCTTACGCGCCACCGAACGGGAGCTTTATTCTGGTCCACAAGCAACCAGCCAACTCACGGCAACCTGTCCTGTGTATAGAATACAGCGGTTCCAGTAGCTCGTTGACTTCTGGCATTAGTTGATCTGATATCCTTCACAGCTGCAACCCCATAAACAGGAAGGACCCGGAGCTCTGTCAGTTAAACAGTGATGCCAATTCGATTCTCCACTGACGCACCTCATCACCTAACCCAAACGATGATAACAGCGACTTGGGAACAGTTTTCCACGACTAGTGCAATAAGCTGCAACAATAAGCTTTTGAAGGAGCCTAAAGAAGTAGCTGATCTTCGCTCGAAATAGTAGCAAATGCCTCTTCTTCCTGTAAGTTACAGTCATTGTCAGATAATGTGGCTGTCTACGAAATTGACAATTTTGGTGTTCGAGGTAAGACTGGGCGTGCAGAAGTACCCAAAATTAACCATTTGTATCTAAGAGATGCTAACTACTTCCCCAGCGCAATTAATTTAACCCTGGCTGCAGTCGAAAAAGGTCCACGCTGGCCTCTTTTGCGATGTAACCGATTGGAAAGAAGTATGCATATTGATATGGAGAGTGCAAGCGGCGTAGAGCCACGGCCTAAGGCGTTGAACAGGGGGCCAAACCGGCGGCTTGAGACACGCGTGTAGACGGCCGTCCGGCGTGCACTGCAGCGCCGAGCACGTGTGGTGGCTTTGCTCACGTGTGCGGCCCAATCAATGGCTGGTCGAACATTCCGGATGTTTTTGCGGGGAGGGGGGGTATCGCGCACGCGGTGGCCAATCAGCGACCAGCACGCCACGAGCAGGAACATTCTAGAACGCCCTCAACGGCTGGCACGCGATTGGGCGCAATGTTCCAGAACGCACAGGAGCCAATATAAATAGCGCATCTTTCTGATGAGTTGTAACTCCTCGTGTCCGCGAGTTGTCAATAAAGTGCTTGTCCTCCGAACCGGCTCTCCTCCTGTCCTACATTTCTTCCGGGTCATAACACATACGAATATCAGAAATATAAGAAGATAAATGCGACATTGATTCCGGCTTCGTCTGCTTTCATTCAGGCAATCAGTCGCAAGTACTTGCGCACACTTACATGCACAGGGCAGAAAATCCACAGACATGATTTATTAGATGTGCCATAAATGTACTAGGGTCTTGCTACCTGGACTCCTCGCAAAGGTATACAGGTGGAAGCTGGGTTCTAGGAACTGTTTTTGACACGCATGAGTGACTCCTGACTGTTCAGTATTTGCGCTGCCGGCATGTGATGCAAGCCTAGGCAAGCAGTTATGCAGTCAGAGAAGTGATTAACTGAATGAGGATAGAGAAATCAAAAAGAGAGTCGCGAATGCACATTTGGGTACATGGCAGCAACTTATGAATGTTGCGTTAGTACTGTCAAAAGGTATTGCGCGAGGGATATGAAGGTAGGCGGCTGAGTCAGGGCCAGCAGCGAAACTGTACTGAACACATTGGTGGAGAACGATGGCACTGCATTGCCATTCTGCTATTGGCGGAACAGTTTTGGAGGAGTGAAGATCCACCACATTCCAATGCATGTACAGTAGGTGTGCTGTCTCATGAAATGTTGACCGGAATTCTGAAATGTGCCTTCGGTTCGTAAAAATTGCTCAAGTAGGGTTTTAGTATAAATTGCCGTGCAGCATAATCCCGAGATATTCCAGTCAGATGGGGATTTGGGCTTTTGAATGAAATTCTTTTCGGCCGTCTGAAAAGACTTAACCCTGCGAAAATAACCACTTAAATAGTGTGAAAAATCCCCATTGATTTTAGGCGCCTTTACATATATTTTATATAAAACGCCCACCAAAATATCCTTTCCTTTATTTGCTTGGAAGCAAATTGCATGCTAAAATTGTATACTCAAAGAAAGACTGTCTTTTGGTTTCAGCCAATTTTTTACTTATGAGATTTTGAAGACCGCAAATGTTTATTCATACGGCGTCGCGTCAGCACGTTTATTAATGCCACTTATCAATTATACGACATGGTTCACATCCATTGTATAATTTTATGATTGCTATATGACGCATTCCTAATGGTTTAGAGAAATGTGTGCTTTTACTCTGACAAAATGTGTACAGCAAGTAATTTGAAAACCCTGAATACAGGGCAGCGGCAGGTCGCTGAAAATTTTTCAAAAATTGTAGGTTTTTGGAAACCGGAAGATATACTTTCTTTGCGTATGAAATTTGAAGAAGATGCAACCATATAAGCGTAAGAAAGAATGTCTTTGTGGGCGCTTCCTGTAATATATATATATATATATATATATATATATATATATAATACATGAGCAGCTCGCTAAGAGTGCAACAGGCCAGACGCAGACAGCTGTTTCACGGTCGTTACCGATCATCAGTACGTCATAGGCCTTATGAAGTGAGGTATATAAGCATGTCAAGTGGGCGTTTGACCCTCACTGTTGTGGTTAGGATCTCACTCGATCCCATTCTGTCCGCCCGCCAGCTTCCTACTGGCGACAACGAACGCTATGTCAGAGGACACATACCACATATAATACATGAGCAGCTCGCTAATAGTGCAACAGGCCAGACGCAGACAGCTGTTTCACGGTCGTTACCGATCATCAGTACGTCATAGGCCTGTTGCACTCTTAGCGAGCTGCTCATGTATTATATGTGGTATGTGTCCTCTGACACAGCGTTCGTTGTCGCCAGTAGGAAGCTGGCGGGCGGACAGAATGGGATCGAGTGAGATCCTAACCACAACAGTGAGGGTCAAACGCCCACTTGACATGCATATATATATATATCAGAGGGGAGACGACAGAGTCTGGTGGGTATATTGATACAGCACTGTTTCGGGCTTGTTTGCCTTCATTCAGCCAATCATAACCCTGGCCATCAGCTTGTACCGGAAACACAAACATGCGCACAGACGCACCTGGCGCAGCTGGTCCACCAATGGGGTCTACCAGATGGGTCATAAGCACTTCATCGAACCGAAGTTCATCAGTGCCTTGCCACCTGCCAATCTCTGTCGCTGCAGATCGGGTATTTATTCACTCAGGAATGGGCGCACACCGATCCATTGGCTTCCAGAAGGCACAATTTAAATGGAACAGATTGTTTGGGCAAGGGCAGCAAACCTTATTACGTAAATATTTCGACGCTGATTCCCCAGGTCGTCGTCAGACGTGCAGTATATGTGTAAAACTGTTTAAATTTTCAAACGTACCTGAGAAAATTGATGTTGCTTGATCATTTCTGCAAATATGCCTTCATTGTGGACTGACGTCTCGTTCAAAATGGCTGTGTCGCGGTAAGATCGCAGTTGGTAACCAGTCAATATACGGTAATACTGTCGACGCACGTACTTGTTATCAGTAGGTGTGCTCTTACTGATTTAGGCAGGTCGCCCGTTTAGGTCAGGCTGTTAGGTTTAGTGAGGGTTAGGGTTAGGCGTAGGTTAAGTTTTAGAGTTAGGGTTTGCATTTTAGGGTCAGGTTTCAGTGTTAGGGTTTACGTTCTCGTCAGGGCTACGGTTAAGGTTAAGGTTAGGGTTACGGTTAGGGTTAGGCTTAAGCTTATGGTTAGGGTTAGGACTATGGCTAGGTTTTGGGTTAGCGTAGGGTTTTAGAATTTTGGTTACGTTTCGGTTTTGAGGCTTAGGATTAGGCTTTACGGTTGCTCTCAGGGTTGTATTTTAGGGTTAACCATAGGGTTTAAATTTCTGTCATTATTCCACTTCCTTAAATCTTCCCAGCACTTTCCCTGGTAACTTTATTTTTACCCAGAAACTCCAGCATTCCTCTACCAGTCCTTTCATTTACCCCACCCATATAACCCCGTTTCCCACCATTCCCGTGCGACAGGGACCTGGCTGTCCGCGTCCCCATTCCTGGCTACCAACTGCGATCTAACCAGGCTCTTAAGCGTCCTTCGGGGAAGAAGTAAATATCAGGTCATATTGCCAAGTACCCGAGACAAACTGAACCAAACATGACTGAGATTTATGCACTGTCCGAAGTACCACTACAACCAACAGTATCCTTAATCGTTGCACTCAGTTAGAAAATTTATAGGTCGCTGTTCTACAAATTCTATCCATTGACCAAGAGTTGTGGAATATCAATGAAGAATTCCATCGGGTTAATGAACAAACTACGGGGACTCGTCATTGTTGCAGATGAAAAAATGGTATCTTTCGATGTTGTCTCTCTCACTTTCCATATCCATACCATTAAAGTTGGTCGGGCAATACACGGAAGAACTACTACAGTCCTGTGGCACAGATGTTCCGACACCTTCTTTGCTTTAACTCTTGAATCTCTGTCTAGAAACCAACTTTTCATCCTCCCAATAATATTATCAGCACGTAATGTGAGCCCGTATGGGGTCACCTATTTCTAGTTTCCTGACTGAGGTCATGATGCAAAAATTGAAGGCTACGGCCCTACTATGAGTCAGCCCCAAATTCTGGGTAGGCTGTGTTGATGACACGTTTGTCATAGTTAAAAGGGACCAACTGAAAACACTGCACAGCATTATGAATTAAACGGTACCAGGAATCTCGCTTACACTCAAAAAAGAAGTTGACGATAAACTTCCGTTTCTTGGTGTCCTCCTATAGCAAAAGACCGATGGGAGGTTGCACATCGTTTTACCCCAAAGAGCTTTAGCGAAAGTTATCTTGCATTACGGGAGAAAGCACGCAATCGCTCACAAACGAGGTAATGTTAACATACTATCTAATCGACAAAAAATCCGATAATCATAACATCGCATCCGACGATGTCCACTCTGTGCTCCACAACAAGGTGAAGCAGGCACGGTGACTTGAGCGTGATTTAGTTTATAGCGAATGTAGACATGCGCTGCACTTATCGCATTCTCTCCTCCCCCACCCGGGCGGTGAAGATCATGTTGTTGGTTTCGCGATGACGGCAGAAGTTGCAGTGGCTTTCCGGCAGGAGACCCTGTTCCCGATGACTGTTCAGACGGTTGAAAAAAATGCGGCCGAATATTTTCTCGATGACGTTGAGCAGAGAGATGCTTCGGTGGTCGTTACGGGCCTGGATGGCGCTGGCCCTGTTATCTCTCTGTGGGTAACATTAACCGGCAGGCTTTGTGAGCTAAGATATCGTTATATAACGGCCACCCAACCGTATCGACGAATGGGAGTGGCCGTATAGCTGTGACGCGGGTTCCCGCGCATGACACTTTGTTCACACATTCCACAGCGTCATTATTGACTAAAAGCCCAAACGAGCGTTTTGCCAACGTTTATGTAGCTGCATGGCGTCACTGCAGCGTCTTACTTATTGTTCTGCTGCAATACCACCAGATATGAATTCTGAACTATTAATCTCCAGCAGTTTTAGGTGAAAACCTTGACATTCTGTCTATTGTCAGTCTCAGATATAAAAAAGCAATGGATTTGGAGAAAATCAGTTTTGCTCATGGCCATCCCGCAACCAAATTGTACTGCAGGTGGAAAAGTTTTGCAGGAGAGCGGATCCACCCTACTCAAAACGTAGATGCTAGCTACAAGCCCGCCCAAGTGCCTCACAAAAGTTCCCACCGTTCTACGTCGCAAATAGAGGACTTAGGTTCCTCCATGTGGTTAAAAATTCTCTCTTTGTGATTCCCGAGTCTATGAACTCCAAATACAGTGCGTGACCTAATTCATGAAATGTGTAGAAATTTACGAATGATTGCCAATCACTCGCAAACCGACACCATTTCATAAGTCAAATGTCAACGTTAATTAAGTACAAGTTTAAAAGAATTAAAAACATAAAAGAACTATTATAGGCAGTGCTGCGTTGTTTAGAAATGTCGGTTTATTTTGAAATGCGCAATATCCCGAAAACGTCAGAAATGGCTCTTATTAAGTAAAGTTCGTTTTTAGATGTATAGAATGTATTCTCATACCAAACACGTCGTAAATATGAAAGTAGACATAAAATCACGTCTAATATCAGCGTTTCAGTGAAGTTTACATCTAAGTATCGTTTAATAAGTAGTGTGACATCATATATGACGGTTTGTCAACCGCCTACATTCTGGGTGTAGATTCCAAAAAAGTTTTCCAGTGTTTCATAATTTCACTAATGGTTTGGAGTTAAATGAGATGGGGTTCAACAGGAGAAGCTAGATTTTGCTTGATTTCGCCCATGGGGTCGTCGTAGGATCAAAAGTTTTCACAAGGTGACATGCATTGAGGCCAGTCGGTGTATAAATGTCAAACTATTAAATTCCCACACCTTGTCAAGCGGGATATAACAACGTATGATGAAGGCTGTTTCGCTAAAACCCCTGGAGCGTTTGTGTGGCCACAGTTGGAGTTCATTATCAGTGCCTGGAGACCCTGAGCCGCTAAAAGTCGCAGCGTCCTCAAAAAAGCCCAAAGGCTTGCTATAAATTCCGAGGAGAGGGGTCACTACTCTGGAAAAATGTCCGTATTGTCATGACCTTTTTCCTTTGAGTTACTGACAACTACAACACGACCCGACGCAAACATGTGGTCAGGACAGAGGATTTCTTCGAGTTAACAATCACAGCTAACGCTCGAGTACATTCACATTGACCACGTATGACTGGTATGAGACTGGGCGCACGGAGGTCCATCCTCGTCATCAAAGTGTTTGGAACATAAAACGCTCTGTCCCCCGATGTCACCACGTTAGCATGTGTGTATGATCTTATGAGGAAGCGTGACCACTATACCTTCGAGCACAATAATCTCTGCCAGCAACAGCTCAACCCAGTCCAGTCTGGCCCAATTAGGCGGAGTTTGGCTACATGGTTGGGCGACGGTGTGGCAAGGGAGGATGTGGCCCAATCTTTCCAAAAAAATGCGCGCGGGAGCTCGCCTTTTAATGCTTTCCCACTTCACGTAATTAGCACAGACAGTAATATCACACATCAGAAAGGCAATAGATTGCGTACCCCAGTATGGATAGAACCAGGACGAAGTTAAGACATGCCATCATGACGGAACGTTTAGACGATGAGAGCTACTTTATATGCTTAATTTTATGTATTTGGGTTTTAATATGGTTTATCTTAGCGGTTAAAGGCATAATTTGAAGCAAGGAATTGTTCCTTCATTAATCCGGAATGAGGTTAGGCCAAGGCCATACCTAGCCCAACCATGGCCCACGTGTTGGCAGGGCTGTAGTCGGTGCATAAAAATGTGGACCTCCTTTCCGGCCTAAGTCCTGACATTTAACATATTACTGAATATTTTTCAGTAAAGGTTATTTATGATTTTGTTTATTGCCACCTCCGCAATGTTCAAGAGCACTGGCCGTTTATCGGCGATCGGAGACAAATGCCATAGTAGTACTTTTAGTTGGCATACTTGTACTGACTGCTGCTCTGTGCGTTTTCCAACCCACATATATCGCTATCAATGCTATTGGCGTTTTATATATAATGTCTGTATGCCTCCGCCCACCACCTCCATACGGTGAAGCCAATGACTGGGATTTCAACAAGCGTCCTAGTCCACCCCAGTTCTCTGAAAAAATAACGGAAAATAGTTTGCCTGTAGAACTGTTTCTATGAGGCGATTTACGCAAAGAAAGTATCTGCGTTTTCTGTACCGAAAAAAAACTTGCAGTAGTATTAGTCAGTTGTTGCAAGAGTACAAGATGACTGACCCCTCGGTCTGGGCCATAACCCTTTCCATCAGAGTTTGGTCCACAGCCGCTTACTGTTTAGTGTTGTCCCCAAATTTAAGGTCTTTTACATTTTATTACAGCAAATAATCCCAATTTACCATTTGGAGGCGTCGTAGTTCAGCGCACGGCCATTGTTGTCAGCAAGATGTTGCGAACTGCTATTGATGTGGAGCTTGATGAACAGACACCATCGTGACTCATGCATAAGATGCGTTTACTGCCCGCTGGTCATCATCTGGGTGGTCTGATTTTCGTGAGTCCTGACTCGACAAGCTACCCATTCCCAGTGAGCATGTTTTAGCCATGTTCGAGGCCAGCATTTCATAGCATATAGAAACGACCCACGTGAACAGCACAGGGAAATGCTACCCAATTTATGTGCTCTATTTCAAACACCTCCAGCCAATGACTTCTATCTAAGCTTTGTATGAGCAGACGGCTGTGCAAATAAATTAGGAAACTTAGTTACATAAACCAAGAAAGGTTTCTGGCGTCCGCCGGGAATTCGCCCTTTTGCATACAGTATCCTCGTCATTGCGCAATCCCATCACCGGGTATTTCAAAAACAATACATGCATTACTCCGCAACTAGGTGACTTGATAAGCACATTGCGTTTGTTGTACATTCGTATCATTTTACTGGGCTCGGTATCAGTAGATTCAAGCCATCCAAAAATTCCATGTATTGCTACTGGTGTTCTCAGACTCTCGATCGACGTCCACAGTATCCATATTGGTACAATAGAATTCCCGATCCGAAAACACGGAAGCGAGGGTCGGGAAATTCGAACGAAAAGGCAGGCTTTAACAGTAACGAATGCTACTGTCTAATCGTTATCAATTCGAATTTTTTTACACCCTTAAAAAAATCAGTCGTCTCCGTTTCCACGCTCACTTGGGCGTAGAGGCAAGCGTCATTTCACGCTTCTTGATGTCATCTCCTCATTTTGACACCAAATACTCCGTTAACGATCACGGTGGAATCCCTTCTTTTCGTCATCTACTAGTAGTTTGGTCGGTCAGCAAAGAGGTCTCAGCGTCGCATCTCCACTCTCTGAACCACTGCCACGGCAGGAAGCGTCTGGAGTCGTTTACCGGATCTGGTGCAGTTGCGGACAAAGGAGCTACGTCGAATAAACTGGGAGATTACTCCGTAAGCGTATTGCCGAGCACGCAGCAGCAGTGAGGCGGGGAGATGCTAGCTCTCAGATAGCGGCTCATCCGACGGGAACCGGCCATATTTTCAAGCTTCAGGAGGCCGAAATTCCCGCAAGGGGTGACACCCGCCTCAGCCGCGAGCTCGAGTCATGGTTCTCAGGCCCACAGTCCATCAACAAGCACAATGACCCCCCGATACCACATTCCGTGCTGATATTTTCCCTGGGTAGGGGAATCAGTCATGTGGGGAGGGCGCGTGCGAACAATTATCCCAGCGACAGTGAGCCAATTTGCCGAGCAATCGTCCCACCAGCATCTAGCACGGAGGAAGAAATCACGGTCATTAACGACTGGGACGCGGACTGACAAGCCAACACCGCATCAATTACGACCCCAGCGGTGGTTGCGAGAGTTGCTAATTACCGTGTGCATATGGTCCCACGGCAGCCACGTGCTATAAATACTGCACTCCTTGTGCCACCATTAACCTTAGCTGCGACTGTCTCTTATGATGGATTCCAGTGCGAATCCGAACCGTCAGGCCAATAAATTTCTTGTTTCAGTGATCACATCTTCGTCTTCTCAGCACGGTTTTGGCTTGCAGTGTACTTAACCTCTACATCCTAATCTGACCTTTGTCATTTTGGGATTCTCTAAGACTTTGATTGTTCTCTGCGACCGTTTCTGTTCGCCATTTTCCCGTATCCCATTTTAATCCTTATTCGTATTAGTCTCTATAGAGTCGTCGGTTTCTTTCTGATCGATCGGCCAAGTTAAGGGAATCGTATTTATGTATGTTCTTCATTTTTTCGAATTTTTAGTGTCAGCGATTTTCTTGCTCTGGGTAAATGGCGAGGGAGTTTTATCAACTTCTTTATTCCCACCTTTAGGCCCTGTGTCTCATTCTCAACTTCTAAGAATTTCTGAAGGAGCCTGACGCATGTCGTACAGGCTTCGTATTCGGCGTCGATCCGACTTATTAATTTCCTTGCCCGTTTGGTGAGAGATGACTTTATGGCAGAATGTACACAATTGCAGTCATTTTCACTACAACCAATTTTTGTCTGTTAAGTTATCTCAGCCCGACCACTGCGCATCAACAGTCTAGTGGCCACCTTGTCAATCACGCCACACCGGGGCAGAAACTCGACTCTGACTTGTGGCAGATTTTTTTGTAAAAGGATCTGAAGGTGTTTTCGACTGCTAGTAGTAACTGAAGGAAAGCGAAACGTATCCTAAAGCATTAGACGAGGATCTTCAATCAAATAAACTGTACGAAATAGGTAGAGGAAAGGCTCAACCGCTCTTCGATTTGGTGAAGCCCGCCGTTGTAAGCTTACGAGGGTGAGGATATTGCCAGCCCAAATCCAACTTTTATTAACCGCAGGCTGCAAAAACAGCCAGTGCGCCGAAATCCCAAAAAATGTACTATTCGGAAATAGAAAATCTGGAACAAACTTCTGAAACAGTTATATTTATGTATCAGTGAAGCGGCCGAAGACGTTGAGGGTAACATGCGCGGGATAACGTGGAGTACTTTATATAATTCCTGGCTAATCTGATATGAAGAGAGTTGTCAAACCGGTCATCCATCTCATCCAAACGGACAGAAGGAAAACTCAAGTGGTGCGCAATACGTATACCAAGAGTAGCGTGATAGATACATAGGGAAATATTAAACTATACAAGGGATGAGAAATACAACAGAAATGATTATCTGTCTAAATGAAGAGGTGATACCAACATACAAGCTAGACTACCGGCGGGGAATACAGCGCTGTCGGCAATTGTGGAGTGGGGCCGTGGGAAGTCCGACGTAGAGCGGGGAAATACGATACGGCAGTGGCGGTAACAGTGGGGATGCGAGGACAGAACATCGGTTATTTTTACTGATACGCGGTCACACCATCATTATCCTAGATCCGCGCTCCAATAGCGCTACATCATTCAAACAACCCTGGATAGTACAATGTACGTTACATAAGGAGTTTTATTTCATGACTAGTCTTTTTTGAAAATGCACGTAAACCGAAATATCATATAACTGTTATTGCCAGCATCATTATTATTATTTTTGTTATAAGGCACTCATCGTGACCTTCATTAAACGATCCGCGCCCATTCATCATAAAGCCTGTTATCCCGCAAATATTTTTTTGCGGGAGATATGCTTTTATTACCAATAAATAGGCCAAAATAGCTGTACGTATAGCCTATAGTAAAAGTACTCAAGTGTGTGAGGACTTCTAGGCATTCCACCATATCGCTCTTAATGGTTCTCTCACTGACATTGCCGTGAATGCATGTCAGTCTTATGGATCTCTAATCTGTCGTTGACGCCCGACATCCGCCTTTGCATAGGGAGTTATATGCGTCAGTTTGCAAGCGACAGGAGGCGTTCCAGTGTCAAACGACGTTTAAAAGATTACGGCAGAGGTGCAGAAATCTCACTTTAAAAAGCTTAAGTGGAACTTCGTCTGGTCTTGGAGACTTTGGTTTGTCTGATGCCTCCAATTTTGTTCGAATAAGGCTTTCTGAAAGAATACGCTGCTGATGACTGGTGCCAGCAGGTCTTCTACGAAGGATGGAACCGTGCCACGTTTGTGTGAACTGATTCGAAAAACCGTGAAAAATACACAGCCTTGTCTCTTACTTCATAAATTGTAACGTCATTGTTAGATATTATTCAGGAAAGTTAGCGCCGTTTCTGAGTACTGAGTACTGTTTCTAAGGTAACTCTACAGTAATTTCGGATTCTGCATTGTTTTCTGCAGCAAATTCTTCTCAATCACCCTATGCGTTTAAACGATCACACTTCTCAGTTCTTAAGTCCAATTTGTCAGCTATAATAGGACCCCCAGGCGTCTTAAATAAAACATCTCATTTATTTACTTTTTCTCTGTGTTTCGTAATTACTGAAATATCCGATTTGCTATTTAGCTACTCAGGCCGATTGCTCTGTTTTAAACTCGACAACGGATAGTGGCTATTAATCATCTGTTTGATGACATTTTTGAACAACTCTCAATCTTTATTACCCTAGTAGCATGTAGATATCGACAAGATACTGCGTCAATATCGAGATGTTGAGATAAGTATATCGCCTGCATATCAACTTTGGCCACTTTGTCGATATACCCCAGATATCGACATGTCGAGGTTGGGCAACGAAGGCGAAAAAGGGTCGTTTTAATATGCATGGCAAATAAACTACACCCCTTCCTTTGAATATGATGTCTCATACTCTATTTCTACTACCTGTTCCTGTCGAAATGTAACTTGTTTTATCGTATATTAGGCGGTGCCGAAGACTTTGAACCCCACACCGAACCCACACAAACCGTGAAGACAAGCGAGCGGTATTTTGCGAGTTGTATTTTTATCCCATTTGGCAAATTAGGAAAGTAACATATTATCTGCAAAAGGAAGAGCCCGTATACCCAAGGTACAGTCACTTACGGGCTTGACGTAAACCGTCAGGCTACCTATTCTGAAAGTTAGATAAATGTAGAATATGTACGCACTTGGCTTACCATTCACATTTGAAACCTGCCACGTGCAGGGAGCGCTCTAGGTGTTAAGTGAATAAAGCCTCCAAATCAGTGAGGACCGCATGCTCTTATCTGTTCCATCTCCTGTAAAGTTCTGTGTGGAATATGCAGCAGTTCACATGTAATCAGTTCGTATAACTTTGCATTTAATAGGGAAAGCATTTTCATACTGTCCTTGAGGGCGCAATCATCGTCAAATACTGCATAGAATATGCATTGCACAAACTCGTTAATATTTCAGTTTTAAATGCGGGCAATAGCTAGCCTTGACGCCTGCACAGGGTATCTATAAATACAGTTTTGTCTCCATCACGTTTAAGGAGCTTGGGACATACCTGTTTCCCCGGGCGTTTGTTCTTTTGGAAGATAGATAGCGTCAGAGTAAATGGACTTGTCTTATCGTTGCGTTTGGATGCTGCAGGCATAGTATCTGCGAAATATGCTTTCTTGCCGTCTCCCGCAATGTCCGCCTTAACATGGTGTTTGTTAAAATGATCAAAATTAATCAGATATTTAAACAACATACGAAATGAAGTGGTCAGCTATAAATTTAGCCCAGCAGGGTCACTCCCGCGCACGCCACCACAGGGCAAATCGTAATGGCGGCCCTCGCCTGACGCACACTCAGCGCGACAATTTCGCCAGCGTATCAGAGGGGAGTTAAAAAGGGCGGCTGACCAATCAGAACGATATGGACACATATCTGGACAAGCGGCTCTACAGGCATATCGCGTCGATATCGGCATGCTATTAGAGTGGCATTATGCTTAATCACCGAGTTCTAATTGAGATCGGACAAACCTCTCTTCATCTGCTAGAAATCACCCCGCCAAATGTTATGTATTTGGTCTACAGTATGCGAAACGGAAAATAACCAATAAGTCCAACTAACCACTATATGGCTGCTTCGGCCTACATGCGGCTTAGAAATGACGCTTTCTATATGTCTGACGTTTTCATAAAAAATAAATCCTGGCATTTATCCTTTTGTGCATCATATGACCTGGTTGGAAAACTGACGTGTTGTGTGAGAAGCGCTTACAATTTTTCCATAGAAGAAACTGTGGCTGGAGATCATTTTTAAGTACGACGTTTCAACGGTGTCCTTGATAAGTCCTGTGAGTTGAAATCGCTCATGGTCATGGCATTGGCTCAAATGAAGAATTTTTCCAACTGCCCCAGTTAGAGAGTTTTCAACTGACATATGGCAGTGTCGGCTCCGAATTATTTTATTGGGATTTCTGGTTAACTGTCATAGATTTTGCGCATGTGTTGTGCTTACTTTGCTCTATCTGCAAAACATGGTGTTTTGATTCGCTATATGTTTGACGCTACTTTCTGCGTCAAGTGCTGAACCAATCAGGACCGAGCCCTGACACTCATAGGGTGCCGGACGTTGTCCTGTCGGGTTTCGTATTTCTTTCCTCTTTGTACGTGCATTTGTCTCAATTTTCCCTCTTTTCGCATGCACTAACTCTCCAACATAGTGACTCTTGGTTGCTTTCTGATCGCAACTGGATTTATGCCTCGAAAGGTTTCTAAGCAAGAGTCGGCTCATTTTAGTTGCATTTAGATGCATTTTTCAAAACTGCTTATATAACCACTTTGGCCATAAAGTTTTTTTAAATATTCAACCAGCGAAAATGACAGTTCGCGGACACACTTTCCAGCTTCCGGCCGTCAGACGGTCTCGTTTATTCGTCAATCTTGTTTCACTTAGGCCACTAAATGATCGGTACGACGCAATGATGCGCTGAAATAACGCAATGCAGATTCCTTATCCTTCCTCCCATTGTCTTGTGACGTGATAAAAGACATCCCTCCGTAGTCAACCTTACATCAATTCGAAGTTCGAATGCCGAAGAAAGCATTGTACTTTAAATAATTGAGACCCCCATTTGAAAGGTGGCACTTTTACGCAGTTGTGGGTTTGGTGATGGTCGTTTTTGATCTGTCCGCGGCAGTTCGTCTTTGCGCCTTTAAGCCTTTGAGACGACTGGGTACAGCGTCATCCAGAGTAAATACTTTTGTGTCTGGCGTCTCTGTTAGAGACCACTACGTCTTCATTTCATGCATAACTTATTTTGTTTGAAGTAAATTTGCCTTCAAAAGGCTTTGCGCAGATTCGTTGTATTGATCTGACCTTTGCAGCATTTCTGTCCAAGTTGTGAACGCCTAATACGTTGACTTTCATGACCACTGACGCTTTAGGATGCTTCTCGTGTATGGGTATCTAATTGCTGCCGATTTGCCCGGACACATCGCTTTACTTTGCAGCGGTTGTTTTACCACGTAGACAATGGTAGAAAACAATAAAAAAAGGCCGTGAGCGCTTACAGTGTATGTCTCACTGTCGAAATGGAAGCTTAATTTGTCCTGCTGAACGGCCTTAACACCACATGTTCGTTGCGATACTCGTGTGGGCTTCTGGAGCTTCGTTAACCAAGACCACTTGTAGACAATGCGTGTTCTCAGCGTTTTGTTAACATTCGACCCGATATTCTGCTGACAGCTTACAGCCAGTTGGATCGGTTACATTTGAACAGGTTTTATAGCCGGTTACGCAATGGCATATCGGACATGATGCCAAAACCGGCTCTTTGTAGGTCAGATTGTATCCTTATCCGCTCACATCTCGAAGTTGGAAAAGTTGCTTGGAAAATATGTGGTTTTTGGAATTTATCATCAGGTCACTATAAGTACATGGAAACTGAGCGTGTTTGTCGTTGACGTGGATTATAATTTTCTCGGGGGATTAGCCGTACCCCTCGTTCTAACGCCACCTGAATGACGAAGTTGGCATGTTGTGATCATTGGAGCTAGGGGCAGGGTGTGAGCGGTGTCTACATGTTAAACACACGGGATGCGCATGACTATCATTAGGGAGTTAGGGAGGCTTCCGATCACCACTTGGAGCCGGTGTTGACCACGGAAACTGACTGCCTGTACCAACTTCTTCCAATAACAAAGCGTTGGACTCGTTAACCGAATAGCCACGTCCTCGGCTGTTGCAGCACCCGTTGGCGTAAGCCTTTACAATAGTTTGCTAGTGCCCGGAAACGCTTTTTTGGCGTCTACCCAGTAACTCCTGTCGACTAGATGTGTGAGGATAGAACTCGAAAGCGATCCGTTATCGCTTCGACCTAGGCAGATACGTATGTTTTCGCGCGCCCTCTTATTCGGACATCTCGTTCTGCGGCCACTCTACAGGGTGAATGAATAAATGCATATCGATGTGGCCTGTAACAATAGTCGGTCTTTACCTCCCGACCATAGGAGGGGAGAGTCTGTGACGAATGCGCGTAAGTTCGCCGCGAGGAAAGTGCTCGTGATGGGTGTCTTTAGACGTACTCTTACAAGTTTGCTTATTGCGTCCTCCAAAAAAATTCGCCCCAAAACACGTCTTCCTTCTCTGCAGTTGCAGTTGTGGGCTTTGTTGCCCATCCCCCAATATTCTGGAGGATGAAGTTTTCTGGATAGCCGTTTCCACGGAGTGTGTTTTGCAACTGCCTGTGTAGAACGACATCGAGGGACACGATTTCCTTATCCGCCCCAGGTTTTGCAGCAAACGTTTGCGGGACTGCACCCTGTTAAACTTCGCAACTAGGGAGTCGATGTCGGTGGTATGACCTGTCGGGCAGATGTCGTCCGTACACAAAGCGCAGAACTCGAGATCATTAATGGCATCCTTTAACCTCGTTTTCTCGACCCTGCTTATGAAAACATTTGCGAGAAACAGTCCAAGTGGCGAACCCATCTCCATACTGACTATTTGTTTTTATAGCTGGCCGTTGCAGAGAAACTGTGTACAGCACGTAAATAGACCCAATGATCAAAGCATGCCCACTTCGTCGACGAATGTGGCTAACCCCCTAAGACACTTATAAACCCCGTCCACGGCTGACATAGGGGTTTTAGCCTTTATTTCGCTCTTTGTGTCCGACTTTTTTCTGCCCCAACTTTTAGTAGCTACGTGCTCGCCAAGAATGTTGCTGTCAGCACGATTTTTCCCAAGGTCTTAGTGGAAAGAGCGCTGCAATATTGTCAGATCGTAAACTTGTATAGCGGTGATTTTACAGTGCTTCCTGTCCCAACTGTTACCTGAACGTCCTTTTGTGTCAGTAGGGCCTCATGGACGCAAAATCGCTGCTAAAAATCCATCGGTCCACATCCAAGAAGATCGAACATCCTCACATCAAGTAACTTGCGCAATTCTATTGATTCCTAGATATAACTCTCTAGGCAAGATCTCGTGCATTGTTTGCGGCGTACCGATAAAATCAGAGCTCACTTGGAACGCTCACATTTTGAGCAAGACCCATAAAGAGGTTTGTCTGACCGTTATTTTTCCCCAGTTAACCATGTAACTTTTAGAATGCCCTGAAAGGAACCTCGTCGTTAAAACGGTTGCAGTCACACGTGCAAGCAACCCAAAGTGCCAAGGTGGCTAAAACCGAGGTAGGTGATTGCGTTTCTTTGCGTAGTCTCGATTAGGCCACGCCCATTCCAATCACAGCTGTTCCCGAGCCTGCAATACAGTCTAATTTGAGTGCCGATCCTCCATCCCGAACACCTGAGAAAATCCAGAAGCCTGAACCTCCGAAGGACAAAGAAGAAGGTCCCAAAACTGTCCTACCAGAGGGCTTTTTCGATGACGCCCGGCGTGACGCTGAAGCCAGAAACGTACCTTATCGGGATAAGTTAGATGTGGAGATGGAAGCTTTCCAAAAGGAACTGGGGTCACTCGACCAGGTTAGTCTGATTTAATCTTGCACTTCTTTTGCCCGTTATCCGGTAAATGTGTGTGCTCGTGTCCTTGGAATCGCTGTTCGTTCGGTACCTTCTGTCTTCTTGGAATCTTCCGAAATTTGTCTCCTAATTCGATCGTTTGAACTCTGTCTGACGACAGGGATTGTCCGGTTACGAGTTCTCCACATCCCAGTGTCTGCTATTACAAATGTTCCAGTGTTAAAATTACGGACTTTGACAGATTTTGCGTTGTAATTATCCACTCCGTCAAGGTTTACTCCGCGATTCCGACAGAAATATTACTTAGGTTACAGTAAGACCATCGTGCTAGCTGGATATAATTAATTATTCACACGACTGGGAAGCATGCCGTCCATAGCCAAGATCGATAGATCATCTGGCTCCCAATCGTGGGTCGGCGGTACATTTCCGTCCGGTAACACTTTCTGTCCGCGGAGATTTCCTATTTCCATCAGCCTACCTCTGATTGGTAAATTACGAGTTATGTCGGATGAGGAGTTACCACCAGTCATAGGCATAGCAGAACACTTTGTAGTCGATCATTTTATTGACTCGTTTTAGAGCTGCCGCCTTTAGAGCTGAAAGTGACTTAAGCAACTTGTAGGACTGTGTTTTTCCCGATGGGCATTTAATCGGACCAACATACGTAATAATATCAGGGCGCTACTATACACTTAAGAGACTGCCGAAAGGTTGTTTCCGAGATAGAGAGAGAGACGCTGTTTTCTGAACTATTATTCTAAAATATTCGGCGAAAAGGCCTCTTCATGGTGGATGAGAATCGGCCTGCAAAACAAATCATACCGGAAGATCAGAAGCGATATCCAATGGCTGCAAACTGCAAGTGCCGGCATCGGGAAGAATCGCCGGTGAATAAGTTGCGAAATTCGCGTCGGATTTTGCCTCCTTCAAAGCGGTGCTAACGTGGTGTGCAAATGACCTCATCGTTGTAGTTCAGATAAACAAAGGGAGAAAAATAAGTATATAATGAGCACAATAGGCCAACAGATGTGCATATATGGAAATTCCACGTAAATGGAGAGCAGAAAAATGGCGGCTCAATCTCAATCTGTTTGCGTGCTTTACGATAATCGAAGTAGAATGTGGCATTTACTTATTTTTTTTAGGAATCAGAGCAGATTCAGGAGGAAGACAATGCTACCATGTTTGCTTCGAGGAATTTACTGGAGATTGACAAGCAACTGTGAGTTATCACGTTTTCCTGGTCCTCCTATAATGTCAACTCTTGAAAGTGGATAAGTTGTTTTCGCATTCACTGCACTTATTTTCCCTTAAAACTTTTTTTAACGTGTCAACGTTGCCCACACACTGATTAACAAGATACATGCAGTTTTATCACCATCGTGTGAGCCTTTCTGTTTCATTTACTGCGGACCGAGCGATCATGTTAAATCTTCCATCCCCGCTCCCAGGCGTACTTGTTGCTTGGACCAGTGTTATGAGTGTTTTCGTTCGGCCAACTCCGCTCTTCGCAGTTATAACAGAAACGAACAAAATTCTATGGTGTGAAGGATAGTTTATCTAAACTACTCTACAGCCAGAATTTTTTGCGCGCTCCCGTCTCGGGAAGGAAAATGTGGACCGAACTTCTCTGGGAAGAAGCAGTTTGTCCCAGCGGTCATTTTCATTTTCATAAAGTCCGGCTCTGAATTCCGATTTTTGTGGCTTAACCGAATGTCTTAACTGTTGCCCTTGACTCAAAAAACATCTGCTTCAATACGTTTCATAATTCGTCGTGGGACTTCATCAGTTAAGTGGTCTTACAAATGAATAAATGCGGATGGAGCTATCAGGGTAACAGTCGGGATGATTGCCATCGTGACATCATATGAAACTGAAAGCAAATTATGTTGCGGATTGTTTCTCTTCACGCGTGACGATCTGCGGCAGCGAACTAGGAGGCTCGACCCAATCCCACCTCCTGTGAAGAAGACCGAGTACCCAAGGTCCAAAAGGCGCCTCCATGTCCTGACGAACTGTGTTGATCCAGGTTTTGAGCTGGCCTTATCGGCGCTTCACAATGGGCGGTGGTGCCGGATCAAGGGTGGCAACACTGAACTCGTGGGACGGGCAACGAAGAGCGTTACCAGACTGCCTCAGTTGTCCATCTTGGATGGTCTGTTGTCGCAGTGTTTTCGGACTGTCTTATTCAAGACAGAGTCGGTATACCTTCGTTCAACGTATCGTTTTCGGGCAGCGGTGGTCAGACGTCTCCGGTCTCTGCTCATCATCCACACGCACGGCCCAGCATTCGCAATCGTACTGGAAAACTGGTCGGACCAACGCCCGGTAAATGCGGATCATTGTGGGGATGGAAATATTGCGTCCGGTCCGTAGACATTTTCCGAGGATTGCGAAAACCCTTCGTCCAACATATGTTCGAATTATTATGGGTAACAATCGGGAGATGGCTACCAAAATATCCGTTACCTAGAAATTATACCTTTACCAGTGGACTCAAACGCCTTCAGGCTATATCAGCGGTTGCATGCCTACTTTCACGCACTACTTGGACTTTCACCGACGGCCTTACATGGGCTGGCCGAACGAACATCGCAGGAGGTACCATGGACGATAGTCGCTGTTACCCAACCTTCCCCATCGTTACACATCTACACCTGAATATACGGCATATATTCGCATTATGGCAGTTTATTACTAAACAAAATCACGTTTAAATAGGATAAGTCTGCACAATATGGGACAGGAACAGTTCGCAGACAGCTGTCAAAGACATGGCATTGAGGCCAAACCAAAGACGATACTGTACTTCGTCTATGTGAGCCCACACAGCTCGACCTCATACAGGACTTCCCTCGTGGAGTTTCCTTTTCAGTGTACTCCAGTATGCCTCAATGACATTGGTGTGCCGTCCGGTGGTAGGGTCCTTAAAGTTCTTTGAGTGGTTAACATAGAAATGTAGATAACCTTCTGAGGGAAGACGATTATACGCCTTCCACTCGTCCGTTACCACAATACTGCCTTTGCCTAGCCATTTTATAATAACGGAACGGAGAGCGGGCCAACTTCGATCATTCACCTGTCCAAACAAGGCTTGTTGTCGGCTAGTATTGTACATCCCGACCAGCCACCACACATAAAACCCTATAACCACCTGTCCCGTAAAACAGGCCGCTTTTGTTAGGCGGATTTTCTTTAGTGCCATCTTCTGATTTTTACCTTATTATGTACACCTTGCTTTATCACTTTTTTAGAAACTTAATCCCGACGTATTTTTATCTGTCCACCTCTCCAAACTAACGACCGTTAAACCTCCCAGGCGTTTCTCACACCGGTCAGGAATGTAGCTCGAAAACACTGGCTTTCCCACTGTTTATAAATAGACCGACGGAGTTAGTGCTCACATCCATCCACGATCACATCCTGTACATAATAATGACTTTACTCTAGAAGGACGACGTCGTCAGCATAGTCGAGATCAGTTGGCTGGCCCCGGGAACAAAATTTACGCTTTAGAGACTGAATAAACCTCCTCCGGCAATCCAGTCAGTAGTGTAATTGAACAGGACTGGCGCCGGAGTGCAACCTTTGTGGAACGTCAGCCTAAGTATGGAACGGTTAAGGGGGATTACTCTGAACCAGAGCCCTCCAAGTGACAGACCGGTGTCACGTCTTGCTCACCATGGTCCTTTTCGCGGGCTTATTATTCGACTGCATCATCCGCCGCATAAACTCACGGTGAACGGGACCGGGTACTGTGGCGAATTCAATAAATTAAACAGTTGCCGGTCTTTAGTAGCCATGGCTTAGTTGGAAAATGGGCCGAAATATGAGTATTTGACCTATACGTCCATGTTCGTCTCAGAGCGTATGGTGGCTGGTTCTCGTTCTAGTCTCACGCATGCCAAAGCCACCCATGAATGACAGTGGCGAGAAATACTGCGGAAACGTCGATGTGACCCATGTTCTGCTTGTTCTCACATCTTGTCTTATTCTTCTGCACAAAGACAGGCCCACAGATGGCCGAGTATTCAGCATTCAGAACTGACCTCTGCTCCCCACGCTTGTTAAGTCACCCCATGGAGTTAGGGCACCGGGTGTTGATACAACATCAGTCGACTTTGACGAGTTCTGCCGTCCTTTTGGGCGCCTTGTTCTTGTTCAACCTCAGTACAGGCTAGAAACGTATAAAAGACCGCTGCAGTGATGGATTGATAATCCAAGTTGGGGTGCCAGATGCACTCACGCCAGCACTCGACTCTGGTCAGTTTGTCAGTACCAAACTCGGCATGTTGACCAACCGTCTTTGGAGACGGTGTCTATCGTGTGCCCCACAGCAGGGTGGGCGCAGGGGCGATGACTTGTGCGTGTGTTAATTTAAAGTAATAGTGGACTTGCGCTGCATCCGCTGCACTCTTCCCGGACCCGGTACCAAGACAGAGTCAAGAAGACTGGAGGAGGGAGAGGGCGTAGGTGGTTGGCACGGCGAAAAGTCGCGCCTAGCCCATACCACCACATCCCCTGGTCCACAGCAGACACTTGGCCAGGATTTTATACAACAAGAAAAAGCGGAGGCGGCTTGAATCCCAATTGGCACGTCTGCTCCTGGGCGTGCCACCACACGCCCCCATTTGGGCGTTTGTTATGGGTACGCATTCCCAATAACTCCTGTCGAACTCAGACCTATCCCCATTGGCGGTCCAGCGCATCTACCGCGTGGCCCGTTTGAAGGGCAAAAATACCGCGAACAGAGTGATCATCAATGCTGATGGCTTGCCACTAACTTGTGAAAACATTTGCGCGTTGATCTGCTGTAGTGAACCCGGCTACGAAAATTTAATCTGACCAGACTGTAGTTGGTGTGTACGATCATCGTCCGAATGAGAATTTAGCAGGCGTTTGCAGTGATGCTGGAGGCACTTTTTGGTGACAACCAGCCGACTCAACATTGTCTTCACTTCTTGTACCGATGGTGAAGTCCAAATCGGCCAGTAAGGTGAGTGAATAGTCGTCTAGCCCGATTTCGGCCATTCGATACCCTGGTGTCAATCAGCAGATCACGACAAGGGAGTCTTTCATTAAGCTCTTGCTACCGATTTTGACGTGCTGATGGAGACGACAAGGATACCAGTATAGTGTCTCTTTAGTTGTTCGTAAGCTAAATGGTCATTGACTGGTTACCATGGCACCCACACGCCACACCTATCAGGAGAGTTGCGTGGGCTACTGTGATCGAGGACGAAGTAGGCTTGATCCTTGAAATATAGATTCCTCTAGAGCCGAATTCGGGTATTTTGATCTCATGTATGCAATATACATTCCTGTGACTACTGACGAAAAATGCGCGTCGTCAGACACGGGTATCAGGGCCGAGAACTTTCGCAATAAGGGATCGTGCAAAACTTAATGGTCCAGCTGGTTCTCAACAGCCGTCCAGGCCACTTCTTCGAAGTCATCTCCCATAGCGTTTTAACCCAAGGACCTGATCACGAGGTAATATTGACAGGCAGGCTTATTTCTTTGGTAGGAAATAAACGTGGCTAAGTCGCATTGATGAAACGAGGAGGGCGAAGTACCCTTCGTGGACTGTACTATGACTTCCTTCGTAGACGACAGAGACCCTTGTGGTTTTCTTTTTCCTGCAGCTTTTAGATAAAGCGTCACGTTTGGCTCACGGAACAATCTAACAATTGACTTATGCTTCGTCTCTTGGCCTAGAAAGTGTGGAAATCTGATACTTATGGGAACAAGCACGACATACCCTAAAAGACCGTTTTTGTGTTGTCCTTGCGGATTCGTGGGGCGAGCCCCGGCTAGTTTTCCTTTTCATCCAAATGCTCGAAATTGAAAACTGTTGGACCGCAATTAAAGATAAATAGCTGCTAGGAAGCGGACTGGTGGGTTGGAAGCATTAAACCGTGCTAAACAACCCCTGGACTTTCGCAGTTCTCACAACTTGCAACCTTTGACTGTTTATTTGACTTCGTTGCACAATATGGCCTACTATATAATCACAAGTAGATGAGTTTGGTATACCAATTATGTATTCCGTAACACTTCGTCGCTCCGTTCAGGCGATTCGGTGAAGTGGTCGGTCGACTTCAATTCTAGAGTACGTCTTCGGGCGTTTTAGACGGCACTTCCTCGTTTTTAATGTATGAATTAACGTCCTCTTTTTGACTGACAACTTTGCAGAACAATAGAGACTTTTGAAACAGTGATGAGAACCCCATTCTTTTTTTGACAGGCCTGAGTCTCATGGACGTATCGTTCATCGAGCATGTCGGATTGAAGAACTAAGTATGTACGCTCCGTGTTGTTAGGAACCGCCAGTCTAGGGTTCTCGCAAGTCAGGACGGGGCTCACCTACTTCGTCCTTTAATCATTTATATTTAGGAATATTTCCGATCGTGGTCGACAGGATGTGAGCCCTTGGTACAACTGGTAGAGCACGCTACTCAGGTTCCCATCTCAAACTTTCCCGACTTACGTCTGAGATATGAGTAACTGACGACGACAAACAACCTATAAATTGCCATTCCAGTCTTCCTAGTCATTGTTGCTAAAACTTACCAACTGATATCTTGCAACCGTCTGTAAAACAGTAGGCCAAAGCTTACTTGATATCTTTGTGGTTCAGTGCGTGAAGTTTCATTGCGTCTTGTTTCAGGACTTTGTAAGGTCAGCGTGTTCCAGTTCCGACTCAGCTTAGATCTTATAACCCTTATACAAAGTACGGCGTCTCGGAATACGGCAGTACCTTTACTTATGATGGCTTTTCATTTTGGTTTTGCAAATGCTTTTGGACGCTATTTTTAGATTCCATGGGGTTCAAATACCCACAGCAAATACTAGCAGGCCTTTTGTGACCTATTGCTATGCTTACATTTAGTTAAGTGCCAGGAATTCACCCGCCTTTTCAGCAACTATACATCATTGCACGTCAGTGCTAAGTTTAGGCTTATCCGATCTTTTTATTAGCTGACTTGACCTTTGATTTGCAGCCACTAAGTTCTCTTCTGAGTTAGGACGGATCTGACATACAATACCTGTTCTATCTCATAAGATGTTAGTCGAGATCCTGAAGTGTATTTTCGCTTAGAAGGGGTTAACTAGGTGGGATTGTAACATTGGTGTTTTAATCTCATCAAGACACTGACCTTTGAATTCGCTTCATTACGGCCACAAAAAAATCTCACTAGCCGAAAACTGGTGCCTTCAGTAGTGTTATTTTTCCGATTACATTCGATGTCCCTGTAACTTCAAATATATTTTAAGAAGACACCCCTAAAATATTTCTTTTTGTATTAATCATATAGAAACCATGTTCTCACACATTATACTTGAAAAGGGCATCTTTTGATTTTTGAAAAAAAAACCTTTTCATTTTCCGGGTAGTCTTGGACCAGACCTGCAGTTTCACTTGCGCTGGGTGTGTCCAAACCACATGCTACATACGTCCCGTGTAAGGAAAACATACAGTAGATGTGCTACATCATGAAATGTTGACGAAAATTCTGAAATTTGCCTTCGGTTAGAAAAGATTGCTTAGATGGAATTGTAGTATTTATTATCATGCAGCATAATCCAGAGATATTTCACTCGAGCCAAGATGCCGGCATCTTGGTGGGCCTAGTCCCGATTGCCTGAAAAAGTTGAATTCGGTAAAAAAATTACTGCATGGGTAGTATGTACTTCCCATTGATTTTCCATACCTTTATAAATTCGACTGTATTTTATAGGGAACATGCACAGGTATATTATTTTTTGTAGTCATTTGGCACCTAATGTCCTCCAAATATTATACTTCAATAAAGTGTATCCCCCAGTTTTAAAAGATTTGAAATTATGCGATTTTTGAAGACCGTGAAATGCCCATTTACGCAGCATTCTAGTATATATGCCAGCTATTGCGTATTTCCCTGGGTGAAGAAAAATTTTTGTCCCCACTTTATTTGGCTTCATTTAGAAGCTTGGTCCGTACCAGGTTCAAGGTGACTCCGTCACTCACCCAGGATGTCTGCGAATGCCAATATAGAAGCTAGTTTGGCAATTTGGCAGGGATGTTCTCCGCAGACATTCAGTTCTAGTTAAACGGTGCGGGTGTATGTGTGACACATCGTACTTAGTCAGCAAAAAAGACAGCTATCTACTCAGAGTAGGTTCACCTCGTTTAAACCCACTGAGTGTCCACGTAAAACTCATCATGCAATCCATGTACGTCATGGCCTGGGTACAATTAGCATCCGACATTAGGCCGGGGCAACAGTGCACCCGAGCCTCCTACCAACCTTTGGAATTCAGGGCCTAGTCAGCAAAAACCACACGGACTGGAATCTGATTTTATTAACCATCTATGGTCCTACCCGAGAAATCAATGTGACTCGACACAGCGAAGACGATTTCCTACGGAGTATATTTTTGTCAGGTGGTTTTTAGATTTATGTCTCCTTTGTTCCGAGGACACCTTGAATATTCCGTCAAAGTTAAGCCTTCGGTTGAATTACTAGACATCGTTGAGTCTTGATTTGTTTTTCCTCCGCCGACTGGCTTACCTCACACACCTCCCGCTCCCTTTTCAATCTGTCATGTGCATATGTATGTATGTGTCTCTCTGCGGTCCTGCCACCAAAACTGGCCGCGCTGTAGATGCGCTGGACCAAAACGGAGGCTACAGTAGATTCTAGCAGGTTTTATTGCGAATGAACACCCATAACAATGCCAACGTTTCGGGTGCGGTGGCAAGCCCAGTTGCTGGCTCACGCCGTGCAAACTGAGATCCCCTGTCGCCCGCCCATTTTGTTCTTGGTTAAAATCGTGGTCAAGTGTTTGTTGTGGACCAGAGGGTGCGTGGATACGCCTAGGTGCAGATCCGGCCGTGCTAACCACCTGAGTCTTCTCCCACCTCCGGTCTTCTTGACTATGTCCTAACACCGGATCCAGGTGGAGAAGGAGGAGAGTGCAGTGGATGCTGCGCAAGTCTGCATTCACTATAGACTAACTCGCCCGCAAGTCACCGCGCCTGCTCTCACCCTATTGTGGAGCTTACGGTGGACATTGTCGGTCCTGATGGTCGAACTGTCGTCTTTGAAGTTATAAGCCTAGCAACTTTCCCTTAAGGCTCATATCTAACTCTGAGAACATCTTCCCAACGCTGCGGCAGTATACGTCCGCTTTGGTAGGTAGACCTTGCAGTTCCAGCTACTGAAATCATTTTTCCTGGTTAGGCCTTGCATCTCCCCTGTCTGTCATTTAAGTGGGTTGGCGCTTGATTTGGCAAAACGACCAGCGATCATGCATGTCGGGAATTCAGAGCGCACAGTGAGTGGTGACCTTCATGTCCCCCGACGAGATTAAGGTCATTTTGATAGCACGCTTGCCACAGCTGACGGCCGTCGGCCCGCAGTGTCCTCTGCAATCCTTATCAGAAAAAAAAGACTGAACAGTTAGTAAAACTACTTGAAACATTTTTTTAACGGGTGTGAAGTGGCGCCTCCTAGGGGTTTAAAGGCATTTTCACCTTGGTCTTTTTCTATCTGGAACCTGGATTATCAGAAAAAAACATCGGACTAGGTAGCTGTCTCTTAACTCTAGTTCAAGTCGTGAAAATTAGGCCATTAACAGAAAGCATGCGGATGCCTAAATGCCTGCCTTTCCAGAACGCTCTTTCGATCATCCCTCTCTAGCTCTGTTCACGTTGTTTCTTTTTCAACTTAAGGAATCTAGAGATTTTTATGGTTCAGGCGGCCCCCATTTTTTCCATACTTTGTAAATATCCTTAATTATCCGACTTTATTTTATCCCCTTTAATTAGGGTATAAAACTAAGTTCTAAGTGAAGCCGACGTCCAGCACAGTCTCCCTCTGTTCCCGTTATGTAGTCTTTTATTTCGTCTTCCATTGTCCTTTCTAACAGGACCTCAAAAAGTTTCCGTAGACATAGTTAGTGACTTCAGGATAATTTTTATTCTTAAAAGCCAACTGCGAATTGCGTAGACATCTATAATCTGTCACATATGTTGAACGGAATTTTTCGGCGAAAACTTCTTCTGAAATTTTCTCGCAAATCACGCTTGATTGTCCGATCTTCATTTTCTGTGACTGTGCCATAGTATCGTTGTCATTTACCAGTCCGGCCCGATCACAAGGTGTCTAACTCCAGAGCTTCTTATCGGTTTTTCCACAAAAATAATAAGCACTCTGAAGGTCGTCAGATTAGCTTTCTTACCGTGCCATTCATTTTGTATGTGGTGAAGGGTTCGAATCAAAAAGAGGTAGGAGTGAAGGCGAAATCCATGTAACAAGTCTATTGGCAGATTGACCTGTCGAACTGATGTATAAGCTATCTTTTGTCAAAGCGCTTATTGCATGCAGAAATCGGACAGAATTTGAGATTAACTACCTAGTTGGCCAAACTTCGGCCGACAACGCTTTACCATCGTAAACTAGCATCGAGTCCGCAAGCCCGCCTATAAGCCTCAGACAACGATAACCCGTGCTAATCGAAGAACTGAAATGGGCGGCTTTGACGTACAGTAGATGTGATAACTCATGAAATCTCACGAGTTGCCACAAAAATCCCTACAACGCAAAATTCACCCAAATTACGTTCCCCAAAGTCTTACAACAGTAAAAAAAAACGACCGTTCTTAAAAAGAAGGCATAGTTGCATTTATACATTAGCAGTTACGAATTAATTTTCACTTAAAATGGCCATATTACAAATCCGCTTAATTAGAGTTAACTACAAGGGTGTGCAAGGAGGGAGGGCGCACGAAATGGAGAAAAAAATAATGAAAAATTATAACAAGTACAAAAAATCAGTACTTTGTTGATTGTCCATTTGCATTTAACGCAGGGGAAAGTCTCTCAGACATGGAGATGGCCATATTGCCTCTAGTGGATTGTCTAATGTGATTATCTATCGAATAATCATGCTTTTCCTACATTTAAAATATCGTCTTTGCCTTGTACCAATTTCCTTTTATTGTGCGAAAGGATTTTCGCTGGAATTGAGATCCAGGCTGTTGCTTGGGCTAAAAACTCGACGGAGGCCACATGCGGAGAGGCAGGCTGTTGTCCTAAAAGATTACGGTTGAAAGCGTTATCAGATCCATACTTCTTTAAAGCAGTAGACGGGGGGGGGACATTGTCGTGTAAAAATATGACATCCATTTAGCGTCGATGGATGTCTTTGTAGCCGAAGACATCCTTCACAATGTTGACGAACACCTTGTTATTGATGGTGTCTGTAGTCGACCGCCAGACTGGACGCATTCCGAATTTAATAGCCATCCAAACCATTAGCTGCTGACAGTTCTTGAAGGTTGTCTTCGGGGTAGTGTGCTCTTTTGGAAAGCTCTTTCCACATATGACCATCCGGGTCAGCTTCTTAGACTTGTCTAAAAATTGGACCTCATCGCAGAAGTAAATGCGCCTCCAAAATGAGGACCAGTAAGCGGTATATTTCTTAGCAAATAAAAAAAACGTTCTCTAATAAGTATTCTACTTAAAAACGGTTTGATCATGGCCTTTTGTTGATGAATTTTCCCACATACTTTTCCTAGTTATTTTCATAGAGGACATTGCAGATGTTCCCTGTGAATGGTCTATATGGGTAACGATACTTTTAATGTATGACAAATAAAACCATTGTCTTGGTTACTTGCGGAACCTTTTGGTCCATCCTGCTTATTTCTGGTCACGGTTCTAACTTATCATTCGCCACAGAGTAACCTTGCTAATTTTGAAAACACTTGCTAATGACTCACTCGACAACCCATTCGCTGCCAATTTTCGTATCTTTTCGTAGTCGACTGCTGACATAAATTGTCTGGGCATCTTTATCGCTCGGCGTGTAACAAAAAAGTGACAGCATATCACGGTACACAATATACATTTGTTTATGCCTAGTAATTCTCGGCGTGGTAAAACAAACTACTGTCAAGCAAGTTTATTACTGAATTTTCTGACAGGAAACGCCACAGATTTGTAAGACAGAATTTTATAAGCTGAATTCACCCCGTTTTTCTTGAAAACAATGCAATCTCTCCTACTCGCCCTCACCTGATTTTCATGGAAGCAAGATTCAGTTTTCTGTTCCCAGAAAAGATTTATTTCGTACTTTTCCTGTTTTTATTAGTCTTCGTTTACAGCACAGTGGGCATAAACATGAGGTTTTTATCTCCGAATTTCACTGGCGTAGGAAGTTATCTGGATATCAATAAAGGCCAGATTTAGTCCAAATTTGACCCGTTTGCCCTTAATAAAATGAGTAAAAATGAATCCCTCTTCAGTAAATGGCTTTCTGTGTCTCAAATCAATTCAATAAACACAACTAACAACATCAAATGTGTAACATACTTCTCACTCAAATTCCGATCACGACATTTCATGAGGTATACCATCTGTAATTGCGTGGAAGCCAACCCCTGACTACCAGCTTTTGGCACAATATCTCGTTTGAAAATATATGCGTATTCACTAAGTTTGTTCAAAAAACTGTTTGCTGCGTATCCACCGTCTAGTAAAATCCTTACGGAAGCAGAACGGCATCACCGACATCTGGCGCTCGAACTCGCGACCTGTCAGTTAGAAGTCCAACGTCTCTAGCCACTAAGCCATGGCCCGTTGTCCTGTCGGTTGCGATCGGGAATATACCATTGTATAACTGGCTGACGACGGCTAATAAGCCAGAAACGGCTATTCTTGTCTCCCTTGTCTTTGTCGGTAATAACCTTCAGCCTATATCATGCGCCGCTGTGCTGCTGCTGGTTGGGTTCGAGAGGGAGCCCTAAGGCACAACGGGACGAGTTCCGTATAAACAATCGGTGAGCGCCCCTCTACCCCTTCCTGAAGCCTTCGCTCTCCCGAAAAACAATCACAAATGTGATTATGAGTCGCTCGTGGTCTAATTTGCCTGTCCGCCTCTAGCACGCACACCGCGCCTCCGAACGGTTATCTCGTCGCTGTATTCCTCGCGTGTGGGGAAGCTCTCAGTCTGCACCCCAATCACGACAGGTCCCATCCTCCTTTTGACCTCCAAAAGAGCTAAATGAGTCGTTCTGCTGACTTTTGTTTCCTCGTGGCCCCACTGGTGGCGTCATTGATTCATCCATCGATCGGCGCTCGCTGTTTCAATTGTTCACGTTGAGGTACACGTTCGTAACCGCACACCCGACGGCGTGTTCCTGCAGCGGTTACTTTCTGAGATTTGGGACGCAACTTGTCTCTGACGAGCTTGTGCACGCAATGGCTGCGTGCACAGTGGGTCGTTCAGTGTGCGGTGAGCACGCGGCGAGTTTGTGCTCCTTGGAGTTTGCTAGTAGTTATCCCTAGTACTCACGCACCCACCCGCCTCGCCCTAAACTGGATTTTGCCGCTCGCTTGGTTTAAAAATGTGTAGGTTACAGTCTAAGACATACTCATCTGTGTCTGTTCTTTTTTAATCGCACCAGCGCCTCCCAATAAAGCTTCCAAACACGTACATCTGAAACCGCTAGATTTCCTTACTATCAAATGATTTCTGGCTTTTCTAACCAAGACAAGCATAATCCATCTCCCAAAGTGAACATTGCCGACATTTATGCCCCAACTGTTAGATGCGACTTTAAATTGGTCTGACTTATTTCATTATTGCCAGTCTCGTCGACTCTACTACGTCTAAAAATACTAAGAACTGCATTATTAGTGGAAGGAGGCTCGGTGGACTGTTAGAAGGAAATGTCAGACATTTGTAGCCAAAAGCAGGTTCTGCCGACATCTGGTAATTGCGTTTGGGTTCTTGGAACACTTTCGTGTACGTCGATCATTGGTTCAACGCAGAAAATCCACCCTTTTCGGCACGCTGTCATCTGGGTATTCGAGTTATCGTTGCTTTGCTCGGCAGACCTCCAAGCACCGACTCCGAATGCATTCATGCCCGAACATGGCTGTCGCCCATAAGGTAACGTGTCTTTGTGAAAGCTCAACTATCGTGGCCGACGATGTCCACCGTGTGCTCCACGATAGGGTGAAAGCAGGCACGGTGACTTGTGGGCAATTTAGTCTATAGTGAATGTGGACTTTCGCAGCATCTACTGCACTCTCCTCCCCTATCTGGATCCGGTGCTAGGACATAGTCAAGAAGACCGGAGGTGGGATAGGGCTCGGGTGGCCGGCACGGTCGGACCTGCGCCTGGACATATCACCACACTCCCTGTTCCACAACAGGTACTTGACCATGAACAAAATGGGCGGACGGCAGGGGATCTCAGTTTGCACGGCGTGAGCCGGCAACTGGCCTTGCCACCGCACCCGGGACGTTTGCATTTGTTATGGGTGTGCATTCCCGATAAAGACTGCTAGAATCTACTGTGGCCTCCGTGTTGGTCCAGCGCATCTACCGCGTGGCCCGTTTTGGGCGCCCACGCATTCACAGACGTTTGTGTACGTCATTTTGCTCTCAAAAAGCTACTGTTCTACTGGAAATTTTCTTAAAATGTCTGACTTTGCTTTTCCGGTGTTGGCACCTGTTCTCGTTTCTAGTCGGATGGAAATTTGAATTTCCTGTGCTTACGCTTACCAGGAGTTTATTGACGTCCAAGTCTGACGATGGGTTACGATCTTCTGCCAAATCCATAGTTTACTGCAATTCAGCCAGACCCGCTCAGCGGTTTCTCTTTTTTGAAATTATCATTCAAGCGTCCGTACTTGTTAACCATTGAAAGACCGCTTTTCCTTTATTTGCCTTCTCTCTGGGCTTCTCTTTTGTCGTGACAACTTAGGCCGTGGACGGACCATAACCACTGCAACCTTCAGGCCCAGCCCTGACTAGAAAGAGAAGAATGTGGACGCCAGTAGAGGAAACATTGTGCAGAATGAATGGATAATCGCTTGGAGCAAGTTGGCGGCCGGACGAGGGCACACTTCCGACGCCGCAAGAGCAAGCGTCCGAGCGCCCAGATCGAAGGCATGTCCGAGTCAGTCTTGAAGCCGGTTCAAATAGCTGTGATTGGCCGAGAACCAGACTCCAATGGTACGCATGGGAAGCGCGGCGTTTCGGCTGTCGTTCTAAACTGCCAATACGGGAGGAAGTTCAAGTACTTCAAGTGCTACCTGAACTAGAACATCCCTGTCTTTTAACGGTCTCTAAGGACAGTTGAGCTTTTTACCCACTTCTACTGTGGACTTTGGAAGGGAATAAAAAGGACCGATCAGTTTAGCTAATTTCCTGCGACTTTTCAGAGTAGGTCACGGTGCCCTCCTCGTATTGCAGGTGACCTTGTGCCACATTCCAGGGACGTCTAGGGTTGAGGGTAGTTTGGAGTAAGGCTTAGTGGTAGGGTTAGGACACGGAGGTCGTTACCCACGGAATTTAACGCGGAACCACCTGTATTACGGCAGCTTCCTGTTCCCGTGTCTTCCTCCCTTTCGGTTGTGATTTAAAGTGCTTACGACATCGTCTATCGTTCGTTTTTATAAGGCCCGCATGCAGAATTAAGTATGACTCCGCCGAATTTTAAATCTGTATGCAGTTTTGTCCGATTTCTAGGCTTAAACAAAGTTTGGTCTGAAACAGTGATTACCGCTAAGTCAGGTTTCTACTTGGTTAGTTTCTTCGTACTGGTGCTGGTATTTTCGCTCGTTCTTTTGCTTTTGGATGACTTTTAGGGCGCACAAAAATTATTCGGCGGTTTTTTCTTGATATTTTGGCATGCCATTTATCTAGAGCCGGAGTGCCACTTTAGTGGGTTGTAGGCTGTCCCGCCGCCATGACTGCGAACTAAAAACTTAAAATCGTACCTCCGGGTATGCTCCTGATAAACGGTTAAATAAGTGCACACTTTTTGCAAATTTTAAAACGTTGATACAACGTTGTCGATTCTGCAGGCTGTCTGCTCATTGTGCAATAATTTACCGTACTAACAACACAGGTATTAGCTAAAAGCCCAGACACGCGTGTTTCGCCGATCTTGTGCCGCTGCCTGACGCAGCTGCGAGGGGTTCGGCTCGTCAGTGGGTCCCCCAGCTTTCCCCGTGTGTTTTCTGGTATATGAACTCCAGTTTCAACTTGCCTTGCTTAATTTCCGAGGAAATTAATGCGCGAACTTGGAGTACCTCTTTCGAAACAGGCCTTTTCAGGCACGGTCCGAAATTTGATATGAATATTTGAGCTGAAATCCATCAGCTACTGCGGAATAACCGCTTAATATTCACAAACCGCCAACGGGCAGCCAGTAGTATGGCACTGTGCAATAATTTACCGTACTAACAACACAGGTATTAGCTAAAAGCTCATTATTACCCATAATTTACTGAGCCTAGGCTGGTATTCCATTAGCGGAGAGCTTCATCCGTAAGTCTAGAGGCAGCCACATAGGAATGGATTTGATCACTGTATCCTGTATCAATGCTGGTCGCTATGCGACTGTTTGCGAAAGTGCCAGTCATGTCCGATAAGTGGATTGCTGAACGCCCTCCCCCCCCCACCACCACCACGGGCGTTTTCGTTTGCCCTCAGAACTAGGGCTCTAGAATCCTCGGATTAAATCCCTTTAGTTCCTGTCTTTGGTTGACACGGGGCAACGAATAACAATAAATAAGTTACTCCAGTTTTTGTAAATGACACCTCTAAAGCAGTTCTCTCTGTTTGACGACTCAGTCACAATTTCTCATCATTACCATCAAAACGTCAACTTTTCGGTTTCCATGTTTTGATAGGATTTTCTCGGCCTCCAGACGACGTGAAACACCACTATTGTTTCTCATCCGCATTCACTAACGTCGTTTTATCCGAGTAAGGAGAGGAAGACTGCGCACTGGAATCTTTTGTTTACTTTTCTGAGCTTTCGAACTCATTCTGGAATCAATCGTCAGAGATGACAGCAGCAACGTAACAAGTAACAATGGTAGGGAGTGTTAACCAATCAACAACTAGTGCTGCCGGTCTTGAGGGGATTGTTCTGGACTCTGTATGTCGGCACCAGATCAATACACCGATTGAGTCATCCTGCACGAGTTCGAAGGCTCGAAAAAAAATAAACAAATGGCTCCGGTACTCAACCAGTCTCTTTTGTAATTACTCATATATACACCTTGAACTCGAGCATTCTCATCCATTTATTATTTTATTCCTCCAACATACTGACAGCCTGCGGGGAGACCTTTTTCTAGCCTGCATGCCGTCACCAGCCAACCTTACCCCGATTCCAGGTGGGTACCTGGTATTTGAAACCACCTAAGTCAACTGGTAATCGGACATTTTTGAGTCCTGGACCTTAAGCCATCAGGACCACAAACCCCATATCCCGGCGGCTGTAATTGGGAATATTTAAGGTTACCCGGAAGTGACGTTTCACCGATCTGGATGCGATTTGCCTTTAAGCCCCCCTCTCTGACCCTTCGTAGGCAGTTGCACAGCAACAAGTACGCACTAATAGAGAAGTGTTGTCCACAAAGAGTGGGGAAATTGGAATGATAGCTGTAGAATTCTTGGCAAATTGAGTCAAACGTATAAGCCAAAACAGATTTCGGTGTATATACGGTACTGTTGATGGAATAAGGTGCAGTGAGTGACCGATTTCATGAAATGTTGGCTGAAATTCTGAAATGTATTTTCGATTAGGAAGGATTACTTAAGCGCAGTTGTAATACTGATTATCTTGCGGCAGAATCCTATATTTCGTACTCGGCAGAATGTCGGCGTTTGAATACACTGCTTTTCAGACTCCCGTAGAAACCGTCCTCGGTAAAAGTGGCTACTTAAGTAGCAGGTATTTTTCTCATTGATTTTCGATGGTCTTACAAGTTCAAATATATTTTATAGAAACCCTCGGCAAAAATGTGTTTTTCAGTCGTTTGATAGAACACCACGTCATCTTTATATTTTCCACTCGAATGAGTATAATTAGGTTTTAAAAAAGTTTCTAATAATGAGGTTTTTTAAGACCGCGCAATGCCCATTCATATAGCATCGTACCTGTCCGTTTACGACAGCTCCTCATGAAATGTACAACGTAATCCGCATCCATTGCAAAATTTTATGAACTCTATATGATATCTTTTTAAACACATAGAAGATTATGTCGTTTTCGTTACGCGGAGCTCATGCCCCTTGTAGACTGAAATCACTAAGCGCTAATGGAACGACTGACCAGGCTCCAAATTATTCAGCAATTATAAAACTTGTTTAAAACCTAATTATACTCCTTCTTCTAGCATAACATATAAAGATGACGTAATCCTCTATTAAATGAGTGAAAGAAAGGATATTTTTGTTCGTGGTTTCTATAAAATGTATTTGAATTTGCACGACCATCGAAAATCAATGAGAAAAACACATGCTATTTAAGTAGCCACTTTTTACCGAGGACGGGTTCTCAGGGAGTCTGAACAGCAGTGCATTCAAAGCTGACATCCTGCCAAGTCCGAAATATTATAGGATTCTGCCGCAAGATAATCATTATTACAACCGCGCATACGTAATCCTTCCTAACCGAAAACACATTTCAGAATTTCAGCCAATATTTAATGAGATCGGTCACTTGCTGTAATAGTAAAAAAACGTACAAACCTCAACAATGGATGCCCTAGACAAAGAATTCCTTTGTTACTGTTCTAGCAAATCGAATTCCCAACTCAAGGTCAGAATACAAAACTAGTTATTTAAAAGAACGCCGATCACGCTCGAAAGAGGGTTACAAAAAGGGGGGAAGGGGAATGTCAACAGGGGCCAAATGTGGAGGCACTTGCGAGGAGGGCGTGGAGACTTCCAAGCTTTGACCAGCTGGATACAACAATAGCCATTTGGGACTTGGCATCCACCAACTACACCCTAGACTAGGTCAAAGGCAGTTATCACAGTCTTCCTCCTCTTTGTCGACACCTCTATCTTGTTGATTGTGTGTTTACCTCTAGGCTGGAGCAGAACGGTAAGACCACGTTGCCTTCTACATTTGGATCGGTTAAATCGCACTTCCGCAAGACCTGCCATCTCCTTACATTCACCTTGAAGAACATGCAAATGCAGCTACTCTGGGTGAAAGCAAGTCCGTTTTTTGACATGTTAACACGAAGCTCCCATCCTTCCAGTGATTGTTTATTAAGGCGCCAAAACCATATCCTAATCAGTCCTTGAATAATTGTTGCATCATCTACAGCAAATTCTGCCGTCTGAGGCGACCGTAAGGACCGAAAGTTGGGTTGGGCGGCCACTTACGAAATATGCACATATGCAACGAACTTTCTCGTCTATTCTGTCCTTTGAAAGTTGCCTGAATAACTTTTGCTTTCAACTTACGTGGACGTATGCGAAAGACTTTACTCTCAATCGTGTCTTGATTAGTCCGGTGCGTTTCCTGGAGTCTCGTAGTCCCACTTACTCTTGCCAAGGCAGCCCCTATTTAACTTGAAATGGCTCAGCAAGTTCATACATATGGGCCTTTGAATTCGTACCAAAGAGCGCCAGTGCCGTCCTTCTTTTCAACTTATATCCCTCATGCCCTTTTCCCCGGTGGCACACTGAGATGTTGCGAGCCATAACTATGAGTCGCTTTGCGAGTTTACGGTGTAGTCCGCGTCAGCCCTCTAGAATTCTACGACCTCCAGTTCCCAGTCTATTCGAAGAAGTATTTCTAGGCTCTTGATTCTGCACATATTGTCAAAATAGCCTGCTCGCAGTAATACAAGGATATAAATTACCGGCAAAATCGGGGTGTTTTTGAACGACATAGTTGTTATCATTTGCACACACCTAATGTCGCCCTCATTGCCTTTTCCATCGTTGATACCGGGTAATCTGGAAATGTCCTCCTTATTAGGGTTTAAAAGCAGCGTGCCTTAAGCCCACCAAAATGCCACTTTATGGGTCGAGTTCCATGAAATTCAATCTGACCCCGCATAAAGACGCGGGACCCTCTATATTTAATTGGGTATTTGCACCGGACACAGCGTGCCCAGCTGGTACACTCTCAATGCCTGCCTCCCTTACTACTCAATCCACTGGTTCCTCTGAAACCTCATCATTAACCACGTTCGGAAACGGACTGCAACCTCAAGATAATAGTGACCTCTTCCAGACTTCTGCGGTTTTATTGGCGTCTTCCGGATTCCTCTGTCCGCTTGTCCAAACCATTGCAGCTGGAGGACCCTCTTACAAATAAAATATTTATTTACCTAAGTGGGGTTTCAAAACCATGGCCAGCGCGGATAACGGCGGAAGGACTACCAATTTAAAACACCACAGAGTTCATTCACGTAGGAATGACTGCGTCGCACATTAATGGATAATGTTTATTTTCAAACATATGTTTCTCCCCTTTTGTACAGGTCAATGTGGAAAAGAATCCACCAACTGGAGTTGGAAAAGGAACGGAGTTTGGCTCAGAAAAAGCTCGGCAGCGCCGTCCGCAAGCAGGATAATGCTACCGACGATCCCGTCGCCACTTCCCACCCTTCCATTAAGAAGGAGGATGAAGGAACAGATGGTGAGACCGGTGATGAGGATACGGATGGCAGCGACCTTGAGGAGTTAGACAACTTCCGATGTAAATCGGGTGTCCGATAGCGCCACCGGAAGAGTCCGCAAAGTGTTATTGCACATTTCTTCTGCCTTCAGTGGCGCGTGTACAGTTGGTGGACCGTGGAGGGGGGGGGGTGTCTATTTACAAGAGAATATTGCACATTTTTTTCTCCATCTTCCCTCTGGCACCTCATCGGCCTTTCACACCACCAAACCGGGTGTCCTCAGGGCAACTGACGGGACCCGAGATGCCATTCCGTCGTTCGGTAGGTCTCAGCAAGTGGAGACGGCGTTCGCTGCTGGCTGCCGAAACTAGGCACTCGGTGAGCTTTATGAGGGAGCCCCCGTTAGCCGAGAAACTGCTCATCAGCTCGGGTTTAGCCATTCGCCAGCCGGGGTTCTCAGCGGTGATAATTAGGATTCCGTCCTTGAAAGAGAACATCAGGGATATGAATGAAGGGACATTTTATTATGCAGAGTTTTTGACGAACGGTTTCAATTATGTGGATGAAATACTCTCTTAACTTTGGTTGATCACGATGTGGTCAGGTGAGCTGTTGTCAGCTCTGGTGCCGGGCTGAAGCTTTAGGTGCAGTTTTGGTCTGCTGATGTGGCCGCACTATATCAGCGTCCGTTTGACAATCGACCTTTAGCAGACCATGTGACGCTGCTGGTTAGTTCGTTAGGCTTGTGCGATCAGATTTCGGAGTTTGTAGTAAAATAGGATCCTAGTGTAAGAACTGAGAATGACTTCGATCTGTGGACTATGTGCGCCGGCTCCGACTCTTGCTGACAATGGAAGTTAAGTGTGCTCGCGTGGCCGTCACCAACGCTTCTAACTTCAGAGAACCTTAGTGTCAGACTGCCTTTACAGTACCGGTTCAAGTTCTGCTTTTCCTCTTGTCAACGAGTCCGCCCGTGCACCAACCTAGTTGGCGCATCTGTAGGTGTGTAAGTCCACTGCATAAAGTTTGCCTGCATGTATGAGTATTTCTGCCCATTGCCTGGCACCACAACTCACCTTATCAAGGAGTTTGCGTATTCTTTCAATGCGCCGGAGGGTGGGAGAGAAATCTATGGCGAGGCTGATGGAGAATTGGTCGGTCGAAGTTTTAACACGCTCGATGAGGTATTCCTCGTAAACGGACTCGTCCCATTCCACCATATGGGGCTTTGAGGAAGTGGCCTTGTTACTGTAGAGTCGCGTAATCTGTAAGTTCGAAAGGAAAGAATTCAATAGAAAAGGGACGACAGGCCGAATAATTGCAATTAAATCCTTTGGTGTGTGCGTGGATGGCCCAGATTCTGGACGAATCCCAAACCAACCGACTTCCCAAACAATGCCTGAGACTTCGTTTAAGCTTGCCGATCGATAAGTATTGTCGATTAACCTAACTTAACTCCCGTGTGATTAATTAGGATGTGAGGACTCAAGTGCACTGGATCTAACATTTAAATGCAGGCTGCGATGCTATGGCGCGCATGCCACTGGCCTGCCTTTTTTAATCGCTTCTGGGGTTGGGTGGAAAGTTGGGCACATTTGGCTGCAGAATCGCTGTCAACCATCCCTTACCACCACTAGCGCCACCTATAGGACACTCCGTGCGAGCTATTATATGGAGTGGGGAGGAGCAGCTGAATGATCTACGGTTGCATTTTGTATGCACCTAGAAGTTTCTACCAGACAAACTACCAGGAGACAATGTTAAATGCATTACGTACGTTATTAGTAGCCACTATTATGTGTTCAAGTAGTTCTGTTCGGTTGCCCAGTGAGGCCAGGCAGGGCTCCAATTCTCCCAGTCGACCGCAAAGGAGAATCATTTTGGTGCGTTCCCCTAAAATGAAGGCAAAAGCCGGTTGCACATGATTGTGTAGACGGGTCTGCACTCTAAGTACGCTATCTGGGAACTTTAAGATAAAAAGCCTCTCTGTCTGCTGTAGCAGAACAGCAACCTGGAAACTGGGCTGCTTCGCCTGGTTTTTCTTCTAAATACTAAGAAATTTCTGCTGTGCACTCAATAAACTTCTGAAATGCACTTAGAGGGAGCTGTGTATGGTAATGCAAGGCTTTAATTTCCCTGTTGAAAGTTATCTATTGCAAGTAGTAAAAAATCTACACTCACTGGAACACTAATGGGAATTATTGTCATATGATAAGTGAATAAATCTGTGTAACATTTCATACTGATTCACTGCAGCTTACCTGGTGCGCAATCCATCTTTTCGGACGAAACGCAGGCGTCCTCAGCGGCTGAAGGAAACAGAATCATTTAGTGGCATGTTAAACAGAGCGGAATCCTGTAGTGACTATAATAACTCCAATTTGACCTAACTAAACTTTCTCCCACTCAGAGCAGTCGCGTGTTCTCGCCAAGCTTCAAAACCGATCCCTCATCTACGGCGGTCGTTAACCAAATAATATTGACCAGCTTCTCCCAAAGCCCTCATTTCCGGATGGATTTGGACTGGTAAATGTTTAGGAACACTGGTTAACTACCAAAGCTATTAAGTTGATATCAGTTGTGTCGTTGTAAAGATGACTCCATAATACGCATAAAATTTGCTTATCTGAATGACCTAGTGAACACTTTTCGGGCATTTGAGTTAATCGGACTTCAACCTCTTTAGCTTCCTAATGCTATAACATGTAAATGCAACAGACAGATAGTGTAGGGCTAAGTGTCGAGGGACACCACATACCTTTTTCTTCAGAAAGACATGAGATAATTTTTTCGCAAATAAATGCAAGTTCTTCCGAGTTGTGTCTTATAGGCTCGTGTGGGAATCCAGGCATCGCGGCCATGGCTTGCTCACAGATCATCTTTGTTCGATTTACCACGGATGGATATGAATCGCCTTTCTGGCTGTGTAGTTTATATTGATGAGCGATGTAGCCTTGAGTGGCTCGTGGCACCCAATTAAAGGCACACACTCTTCACTTATCGCCGCGACGCGCCTCCTATTGGGTCCCGCGCGCTCACCGCACTAGGCCGTCTCAAGGTCAGTCGATGGCCATGACGTACGATGACAAACGATAATAGTTGGAAGTGTCATGCAACCCGAATAGGGCTGCACGCGGTGAGCCGAGGATGCGTGCACTTTGGGTTTGCGTGATTACCTTCACTCAATGCGTGAACACTGCGTGCCTACAGCACAGGCTCGCGACAACATCGGGCGTGCTCAGTTAGCGGCGTAATCATATGGCGCATAACACAGATGTGTGTGTATGTGCAGTCTGTTCTAACATTGGACAACACCCACCAAAAGCAGCAGTGTCTGAATAATATTGTTCAGCGGCGCCTGCACTAGTCTCTACATAAACTCATCAGTCACCCTCAAAGGTTTCGAGGTCAGCATAAGTTGGAGGAATAGGTGTGAGGGCTGGGCCGCGAGTTCTATTCGGGCTTTTTCTAACGGCTTAGATCCAGGATTTTTAAGCTGATCGGACACAAGATATCAAGTGCACATTCGGTATTGGTTTTTGTCTCACCGATACAGTGACGGTTTTTGTACGAGTATACATCTCGATGCTGGTCTCAACAGCATTGCGTGCTGAGTGTGAAACGTTGAACAGGAGACAGCTGGGCAGCACCTGGTGCCTGCCGGTGCATAGGGCATAAACTACGTATGCTGGACGCCAGCCAAGGTTCCACAAAGATTTACAATGTTATTATGTCAGTTTCAAAGGTTTGTAATCGACTTATTCCAAGGCTGCCCCATTGGAGTTTGCGACATCATTTCCCGTTAACCAATTGTTTGAAAGATGTGTACTCCACTTGGTTCTTGTACATCTTCGAAACCGCGATTGGCGAGCAAAAAATCCCACATGATACACAGTCTGAGATACATTCAGCGATATTCTCAACCTTTTAGGGCGTACACATGCGTTCACTCTTTGAGTTTTCTATCGATGTACATAGATAAACGCAGGTAAACGCGCAACTTTTTCTATTAGGTATTGGCGAACAGGCATTGAATTGGTTCAACTTTTAACTGGCAGAGGTGGGATTTCTGACACTCAAGTCTTCTGTATGCAAAATATTCTTAAGGTATCACAGGAAAGTGTTACTGGCCGGAAACCGCTGACGTTTCAGAAGAGAAGTTATCACAAACGGTACCAAACGTCCTGAAGAAGGAGACACGATCGCTCTTCGCTTCCACTAGTACCAAACGTCGCCTGACTAGCATCATTTTTCCTTCTTCTGAGATAGGATTAGAATGACCAGTCGCCCGTTATATCAAGTTTCACAACCTATCGTTCATTGTTCATGCCATAAACGATGGAGATCATCGTTATCTCGGCGCGACATGATTGTGACCTTCGCAGCATCTACTTAGTTCTCCTCAGACTCATTGTATACTAATGGTGGGTCGAAGTCAAAACGAATGGAGCTGGGAGTGGACGCAGCGGTCGGGAGATATAAAACACTGACGACGGTATACAGAGGGACCCCACTTAACTGTCAGTTTACTGTGGATCGTGCTATACGTGATTTGTGGTAAAGGGAGTTTTATGGGTGGGGCAGCACGTTGGACAGCAAACTGACAACATAAAAGAAGACAAAAAAATTGCCCGAATTTATATCTGAAGTCTTATCCTACGCTATTGTACGACAACGGAAATAAGGTTAGTAATTAAACAATAAACAAAAATCATTTTCACAAAATAACGGATTTTGAGTTAAGGTATGAGGTCGTGGGAAGTATTAGTTGTTGTCAGGGTAGTTTCTGTAACAGCCTGCAAATTTATGCCAAGACAAAACCCCATATGACACGATCCACAGTCTACTGGCAGTTAAGTGGGGTCCTTCTCTATACCGTTGCCAAAACACTTGCATACGCGTACCGCCGCATTCCATGCGAGTCATGTTGTGAGGGAACCATTGTATCCTGTCTGTTAGCCTTCAATGGACCCGATAACTTTCTATACTATGGACACAAACTCGTCGCGATAGTTTGAAACGGGTTTTAAAGCCCATAATAGGCTAATTAAGCAACCGGCCGCTTCCCTTTCTTATGTGATAGTTGCCAGTCCGAACAAAACCTCCTGGATATGGGATCGGCTGCAGCGGTCATTTTGATACAAAGCTGCCCTCTAGTGTGTGTCACGCATAGGCTCTGTCTCGCAAAAGTTTGGATGCCACCAAGGCCATAGTTAGATGGAATCAATGGGGTTTGACCTCGTTCCAAAGGAGGAACGCCAGTTGGCAACCTTTCCAGCACCGACTGTGAGCGCATCGTAATAGTTTCAACAACGTCATATTCATTACAGTTGGGAATGAGTCAAACTTCCATTAGGATGTCTGACTGTTGGCCTCACCGCTTTCCACTGCATGTATGTACCAGCGACCTGTCAAAACCTAACAACCGATCAATGATAAGATTCCAAGCTGCTGTTGGCGTGACGTAAAGCCTGCGCCTAACGTGTGTCAGAGGCATACAGATGGATGTGATAGTCTGCCAATTAATAGCGGCTTTGAAATATGCTATGCTAAGATTGATGCCTATGCTATGAGTGTGCAGATACTAACGGATAGGGCTTTGTAGTGACTGGATGTGCAAGTCAGATGTCTAGCTGGGCACTACACTAAGGAGAGTGCCCCGAGCAATACGACTTTAAATAGCTAAGATTTCGTACTAGTTTTATAGAGCCATGAATACAAAACGATAGACGACTCTACAAATGAAGATTTGCTGCCTTCCTCCGACTTCCAAAAGCCGTCAGTTTCCCTACATGCAAGAACAAGTTCAGAAAATTATTGCCGATTTTCAGCGCAACCATGTTTTGCGCGTGAGGTTGCGTTTGGATGACGTGGAGGCAAAATCCGTGTGAGGCTCAGGTAGACGGGCTATTGTAGCTGTCAGACTGTGCGCAATCCTATCATCAGCTGGTTGACTGGCTCGAACAATCGATGGGTGCGTGGGAGGGTGGCGGGAGAGTGAGTTCAGCGTTGGTGACCCTCTCTTTCCTAATACCACATCAGAGCTTTCCTTACCATAACCACATCTGACCCACGTGAATGTAGGAGGACGAGCTAAAGTCAGGGGTCGGAATTCTGCCAAGTGGCGGGGTGACCTGATCCTCGTGGCCAGTGCAACGTGCATGCGGCATAACTGGCTGGGGGATTGGGAATCAGGCCGCGGTGGCACTTTCTCAATGTAGCCTCTGTGGCATTCTCGAGCCGTCCGCATGAAAAACTGGTTCCTGCTGTGCGCCAGATCGTGTGTGGCGCGCGTAGACGGATTAGTTGATCATGCCGTCCACTGCGACTGAACCCGCCCTCGGTCATTCTAATTCCACTTTGCCGGAGGGCAAGAGAGCAGAGTGTGGCAGACTCCTTACAAGTCTGCCTCACTATAAGCTAACGCGTGTTCAAGCCGTCGGCTTGCGCCCAGCTTGGGGATCACATGGTGCATATCGCATTCGACGATAGAACTCTAAAGTACGACGAGCTAGCACGTGATGCGATTGTGTGCTCGTGGTGCAGTCAGGCTGGCACTGTTTTTACGTCCCTGGCGGTTGCATCTCGGTAGGTACGAGGGTTTCCAAAAAGTTCTATCCAGCTCTTGAGCGGTCGCTAAGTGTGGAACCATGGTGGAAGGCTTGGACTCCTGCGTCGTTATACTTTGGCATTCCGGCTCTCAGTATTTATCACTTCTACTTTTTCAACTGTAATCACCATACTTCGACGGTTGCCACCCCAGTTTGTAGTCTTTGGCAACATAGAGGAATGAAGTTATCCAGGCCTTGGATGTGTTAAGGAGTCAGGGTAATCAAACCTTAATAGTAATGTTAGGCCTTCTTATGATAGCAGGATATTCCACTATACAAATTTCCAGAAAAAGTTTTGGAGCACTAAGTACCGAGAAAGGGAAGCCAAGAGTGGTAACTACGGCATCATGAAAGTTAATGGACATAAGTGACTGCGAAATTATTGGTAAACTCAACAATTCAGTCTGATCTATATTCGTTAACTTAACAGCTCGGATATACGACTTTTATCCCCCGGGGAATTGATAGGAAGGCTGGCCCTGGAGTTTTGCTTTAAATGTGTTGTTTTTTCATCAGTTTAGTTTCAAAGAAATCTGTTCTTGTTTGTTATTCCTTTGCACATTGCATTACATACATATTCACGTTCCTTATAAAAGAAGCCAACACACCTACCCCTGCCTGCGACCAGGCAATTAAAGAGCTTTTGGCAAATTCACTGCGATCTGCCTTCCCAATATCATGGTAAGCCTGCGAACGTGTTGAATTCTCGTTGAAAGCCAGCGCGAGACGTGGTGAATCTAACAGGAAACAAGAAATCCAGTTTTGGACCTTCACAAAGGATTAGGCTAATCCGTCTGCTCTGATTGTGGGATTGTATGCGGTCGCACTGGCAGGACAACTGGCCGGTGGCTCGATGGTAGAGCGCTGGACTACTTAATGCCCAATGGGCAAAGAGCGCTGGTTCGAATCCCAGGTCCTAAGTCCCAAGACTACCGACTGACCATGGAGAGTGGGATGGTCATTTCTGATTGGATAGTAGAGTGTTGGACTTGATAACTCTGGAGGACCAAAGCATGCGACCCAAAACACGGGTCCTGCAAACCTCGGCTTGGGTAAGGCTGGTTGACGACGACTAACAAGCAAGAATTGGCTGTCCGTTTCTTCCTTGCCGTTGTCGGCATTCCGTTTTGCATATGTTACTGGTCGCTATGCGACTGCCCGCGAGGATTCTAGACTAAGTCCCACGGCCCAAAGGGACAGGTATCTCCCTAACCTCGCAGAGTGGTCAAGCTCAATCCCCAGTGACCACATATTGCAAGGATTCGAGC